TAGAGAGCAAAGTTAAAATGATGGGGGGGGGGGGGGGGGGGGGGGGGGGGGGGGGTAGAGCTGCATGCAATATTGAAGAAGAGAATGACTTCGCCTGAGTTGGTTGAGAGCCTATGCTCTATTGGGGGTTAGACAGGCAGAAGAAGAAAAGAAGACATGAGTAGATGCAGTCACAGATGGTGTATTGTTTGGTATTGACAGTCTGCAACTTTACATTAAACATTTTATACTGCATTACATCCTACATGGTGTCGCTTATTTACTAACGTAGTTACCTTCGCAGTGAACTTGATCTGTGGCCACTTTGTATCCCATTGGACAAACACATCGATATGTGCCAGGTAAATTAGCACATCTGAAAGCACATTTTCCAGCTGCTATGGTGTTGCATTCATTTATATCTGGTAAAGAAATCACATCTCATTATATGAATCATGCATGTTAATAGGTTTACAGCAGTGTTTTTCAAACTTTTTCAAGTGGTGCTCTCCTTGAATATTTGGCAAAACCTCCATGTCACTCAGATTCTATTATAAAAAATGATGTGATAAAAAAAGAGGTTGATGTACAAAATGCTTATGAAAACAATAATGTAATTATTTTCAGGTGTGTTTGTTTTATAGTGTTAAAAATTATAATATTTATAATTAAACTAAAAAATTCAGCATAGCAGATTAATAAAAGAGCAAATCAACTCAAAATGTCAATTGTTTCACTTCCCCCTCCCCCACTCTCTCCTTTACCCCAACCCATCCCCACAAACTTCCTTCTGCATATCTGGAAAAAAGGGAGGGGGGGGGGGGCACTTTCCAGGTTGAAAACCAGTGGTCTAGAGGAAGGCAACAAGCACACCTTACAGACATCCAATACAAGGGTCTTCACACACACACACACACAAAAAAAAACGTTTCTCTTGACCTGAAAAGCATAATATAGACAGAAAGAGCACTTTGAATATGATTGGTTGTGATCTGATAAAGAGTCTGAAATCTGTCACTGGATCCATCTTTGTAAAAACACTAGGTGGACAGTAAATAAGAAGATAATTGGTGAAGAAGAAGTTTGCCAATTTTTTTATAACGTGAGACAGTTGCGTCTGAGGCTAGGTGGAGGAAATGGCAGTAAACTCCTATGTGATGTATGAACACCACAACAGGATGATGATGATGATGATGAGAATGAGGAGTAGGATGACATAATGATGAAAGACATAACACCTGTTTAGCATTCTCAACACTGACTCCACAGTGCTCCACTATCACATATTGGAATGTTCTGATTTTTGTTCATGAATTAATTTTCCGTACCAGTTTTGTTTTCTCTTCATACAGCAATGTATAAAATTATTAAGCATTCTTATCTAATGTCTGTGCTGTTCTTGACAAAAGGAGGTCATGTTATTATTGTGAGACAGATGTGGCATAGTTTTCAATATTTAGCCACAGTAGCAAAGTGGCTTGATACTCATTTGCTGGCCCAAAGATCTTGGGTTCAAATCTGCACACACATTTAAAAAAAAAAATGTTTTTATTTTTTTTTTGGTAAAAATTCAAAATTGACCTTAATTAACAAGTCAGTCAAGCCTAAAATGGGTATCAGGCAATGTTCTGGGAAGTAAAGCTGGCTAGCACAATGCTACACATCATCCATCGAGCGCCAGTTGGTCTCAAAATCTAAGTCTAGCATCATAAGTCCAGTCACCACTAGCCTAAAAAGTGCTCTTTACTTTTACTTAACATATTAATTTTTGTTCTTCTTAGCAGTAACTATGCATTCAAAACATATTTCAAAGGCTGATTTTTTTTTCCAGTTAGCTCAAGGTCCTTATGAGGTATGTAAATTTTCTTCTCAGGATCCTAACACATTCTTCAGTTTCACTCTATTTAATATAATTGAACATAATTGAAAATCTGAACACCAGGAACTACTTTTCATGAGTTGTAAATTATATACAGACTTATGATAAACGATTATTTGTTAAAAAAAATTAGATACAGATTTAAAATAAATCTCTACTGCAAGATTAAAAATAAATTTATCAGCTTTACTCACCCACACATTTCTCATGTGGTCCTGGTTCAAATCCAACGTTGCACGAACATTCAAAGCCCCCAGGAGTGTTAGAACATGTTCCATTGCCACAAGCATCATGCTCTCGGCACTCATCTTTATCTGTTATAGTGAGAGGAGATAAATACTTAACATCAGGATCATTCAAAGGTCATATATTGTATTTGTTATTGTCCAAATTACTTTGTTTTTACTGAACCAAACAACTATGCCATACATTACTTATGTATTTATTACAGACCACAGTATTCTTCGGACAATAATCAGACACAAGGGTAAAATAATACAGAGGAGGGTTATATACACTAAACAAGTCTATAAAAAGATAACAAATGAAGTGAATGTGTGTATAAACACAAACATGCATTCATAAACCTATCCATGAGCACCTCAACACCTACACAAAACAAATTTTTCCCTAATAAATCTTTTTCCCCCCTAAAATTTGAAATGCATGATTTAATTCACACCTTAATCCTAATTTTGGAAAAAGTTGCACTAATTTTTGTAAACAACAATTCAAAAATCTTGCATTTGACATAGATAACCTCTTACAGTATTTTACTACATCTGTTTATGAACAGTATGTCACAAAGGTAAGCAGTTTTTTCTTTAAGAATTTCTTTGTTACACTGTGTGAATCAATAGTCAATCTTTAATAAAATATATGCATTGATACATATCATGCTGAAGTTTAAAGGGATGAACACTGGGTGTATAAACAAAGAAACATGTAACTTTTATCTAATTTTATGTTGTCATTTGAGGAACTTTATTTTGTCTTCCAGAACTCAGGTGGTGTGATACTAACCACATCATCTATCATGTGCCAGTTGGTTTATGGAAATATGGGGCTAGCATGTGCCCCCAAGACTGTTATAGTTTGAAAGAGGCCATACGCTGCTAGCTATAGAAAGGGGACATCTGAGAGAAAACCAAAATTAGAATAATAGAGTATCAATAGAGTAGTTTTTATGTAGACTATGTAGCAGAGAATGCCACTCCTGCACTGGACTTTACAGACAATAGCAGATGCTTTTTCCAAAACCAGTGGCATAACTCCATGGTCCCCAGTGACTGATGGTTGCCTACATGACATGACCCATACACCTCAAAGCATTCAAAAGATCTTTTAACTTCCTATAAATCAGCTCAAAAGTAAATGTATTAGGGTGACACAGTATCTTAAAGAAAACACAATGCAATATAACATCAGTCTGGATGTATTTGTAGTTAAAAATGATTATTCATCCACAATACCTGTGATGCTTCAGTCTATAGGCAGCAGATAGAAAGAAGAGAAAAAATCTCGTAAAGCACACACAAATTTTGTTACATAAACAAACTTACAAGTGTGAATATAACTGTCATAACATATTTGATAAAATTAATATATGAATTTATATTATTTATAAAATATGACAATTTTTGAATATAGCAAACCAAATATCTGCAACTGTCATGTTAAGTCAGCTAAAAATAATAATCTATGCAGTTTAAGAAAAAAAAACACACACTAAGAAACATAATAAAACTATATTTATACATTTGTTTCAAAAAGACTGCTTAAATCAACAACCAAAATATTGTTATATATATGTATATATATATATATATATATATATATATATATATATATATATATATATATATATATATATATATATATATATATATATATATATATATATATATATATATATATATATATATATATATATATATATATATGTATATACACATAAATAGTTCTCTAGGTTAACAATTCAATTAATAAATGAGCTCAAACAGACCCATAACAAAATTAATAACTTCTGAGAAATTGTATTTGAAGTATTAATTACATGACCTCTTCCTCCTGTTGCTGCTGCTGATTCCTTCCTCCCTCCCTTCCTTCCTTCCTTATCCCTCCTTCCCTTCCTTCTTTCTGTTTATTACTTCAGCAGCTCTCATGAAGATCTAATCTTTATTATTATGATTTTTCACTCGGTTGCAGTTATTTAAATTAGTAGGAAAGGTAAATATGAAGAAAGGTGAGTAAATAGGAGACATGTGTGACCAGTTGCTGGGATCAAAAGTTATAAAACAAAGAAGATGGCAATGCATTAGGTACATCCTGAGGAGAAGCAGACAGAGAACATCAGACACTGTAATGGGAAGAAAATGGATTAAAAAAAAATTAAAATGTCAAAGAGAAATTCTAAAGAGAAGGCTGATAAAGTTAAAGTCAAGATGATCAGCTTCATTGCTAGGGATTTTATCCCATATGGCTTGTTCTCTCTGAATGGCTATCTACCTGCCCAGAGCATCACACAAAGCACAAACACCACAGTTCCAGGGATGATCCCCAGGGGTTTCTGTAAAAATTGCACTTGTGAACTGAGTGACACATCCGACAAACAGCTAGACCACTTTTCCAGGGAGAACCCCCCCCCCCACTGATGAGAGATACCAACTGTGACTTTAGTTCATGATATCGAAGAAATTGCACATGTAAGAATGCAATAAAAATATAGACTGCATGCATAATGTGACAAATAACTGGCACAATAGAATGATGATGATAATAACGATACTTTGTAGTAATTAACCATGTTTGAGATACTAGCCTAAAGCTGGCCAAAATAAATCATTAGTTATTCACCTTGACAAACAAAGGTGTCATTCTGTTTGTCTTTGTAAAAAAAAAAAAAAAATTTGTCCACATCAAGCATTTCAAACTAAGTGAATGAGTCAAATTTTGTCGCCATAAGGGTCACACATGACAATTAATTGGAGCCATTTAATACAAATTACTGCAGAATAATTCTTCTGTGTAAGCCAGCAGGTGTGCTTGCAAAGGGCTGCATGCAGCCCATGGGACACCAGTCTGTAATGCCTGATCTAGATGACATACACCAATCAAAGAACTGGCTTTTAATTTGACTTACCAATGCATACTTTTCCACTTGAATCCAGCACAAATCCTTTTCTACACTCACATCGAAAGGAGCCATCAGTGTTAATACAGATGCCATTAACACATATTCCAGGGTGAACTTTACATTCATTGACATCTGGAAAATAACAAGCAGTTATAAACGATAATGTTAAAAATTTAAAAACAAAAAAGTGCATAGTCATCTGATGGGGAATTTTTTTCAAGTTTTTTTTTTTTTTATTAAACCTAAAACTATCAATGACCCAAAAAAAGTGTCAAATGATTGGTTGAACCCTAAGGTATATTATTGTGTGCATTTGAACAATTTTGCTCACTAAATTACAAAGATTTTTAATGTCAAAATTATGACAAAATTAATGTCCTTTCAGTAGCTTTAGGTTTATGTTTTGATTAGTACAGTATTCTTTATAAGCCTTAAATACTGAAAAATGGTTGGAACCTTTAACTCTTTGAGTCCCAAGGAACGCATCATACGTTTATAGATTCCTACCTAGAGGCCCAGTAAACACATGATGCACCGATATTCTGCTTGACTAGAGCCTGTGATGAGAAACCCTGGGACTCAAAGAGCAATCATTCCACACAAAAGCATATTCTGCATAGACATGGGAATCAGCTCATGCATTACAAAATGACTAGCAAGACCAGCCTGCATTAAAAAAATGACTCCTGCATTATGTTTGTTGAATTTCAGAACTATATTTGTCATCATATGTTTTGTTTCTTCTCAAAAACTTGGCATGCCGACTGTCTTAACAACATGTACAACTTGTCAGGTCTTGGTTAGACATGACTGAGCCACCTCACGACAGTAGTCAGTACTACCTGCTCTCTGTTAATGTTGAATGCTGGGTGACATAACCAAATCTGGCATCTCACACTGTGCTAATGGATTTATCAGATCAGCACAATGGAGAGAAAGTAGCCTTATTCTAGGAGATGAAATGTGACCTGCCAACTCAATGTTTTGACAGAGCAGGCCGGAGCCTTGGATGACAGCTGATATAGGAGAAAAACTCCAACAGATGGACAGACAGAGGACTTCTCCTCTGATCCAGCAACTTCTGCAGCATGCTTTTTTCAAACATATTGGTGTTACCTTCTCTCTGGAGTAAATAAAACAGGTTTCTACAATACTGACCAAGTTTTGTGCTATGGGGAGGAGGAACTTCATCTTTGGCCTTAACTGCTCATCACCAAGAGCTGTGACTCCCATGCCTCCCTATGGAACAATTCAACACTATCGTGTGCAAAAAGGGAAGTTTGCTCAAAACAACTTGAATGGTAGCACTAATGCAATTAAATACATTTTTTAAAAATAATCACATAAACCAGTTATCATCCTCTACACCACTTCAATCATGTGTCTTGTCTTTTTTTTTTTTTTATTTAAATTTCCCATAGAATGCATCATTTTGTGTAGCTTAAATTCTGTCCAAGCCGTGTGGAAAGGCTGTTAAAATTAATTTAACAAAAATCAACCTTTAATGAGTGCATTCAAGTGTTATTAAATCAGGTAAGTCATGGTATATTATAAATGGCAATACTGATCAGTAAAATGAATAGCGGTCAACATTACCAGAGATAGCTCCAGACTTGTCAGGAATGAAACCATAACCTCCAGGACACAGCACATCAAAAACAGCTAAGAAATAGAAATATTACTGAAGATAAAAAAAACTGTCAGCCCTTAAACGTAAAGCATTTTTAATTCTTGATAAAATGTTGCAATAAATCATTACTTCAGGAACACTTAAAGTGATTTTACATAAGCTTCTTGAACAGACAGAGATTAACAATGTTTTTTTTACCTCATACTCTGAAATGTGTCTCTCATCCCATCTTCTTTCTCTTGTACCTTACAGTGTTGAGATGAAGCATGAGCATCATTTGTGTGCTTCATATATACCTGGTCTCTTTTGAATTCTATATTACTTGTATACGTTACTGTGGACTGTTGCTCACTGTGATATACTTTCCACTGGTAGCTGAGCGAGATAACTAAACCATTTCATCTGCTGTTTTCTAATGAATTCTAGCACTGCCATTACCACAATTTTCATTCAACAGTATCTAATGCAAAATACTCATGATAAGAGTCCCTTTGTTCTGAGGTAGAAGCAACACAGCAGTTTGTTTTTAACTGTTACAAGCCAATTGTTGTAAAGAATTCAGTGCAACTACTGTGCCTCCTCCACCGTCTTGTCCTCTCCCTTTTCTTCTTGTACAGAGTGGCCAGTGAAGGGAGGATAGCTTAGGTCTTCCCCCGTGGTGAAGCATGTCAAGGACTAAAATAGTGCACAATACAAGAAAGCAACAGAGTCACAGCTTTTCCAAATGATGATGGGAAGGCATTCAGCACCTACAATTTGCATTCACAACTTTGAGATTTTATGATCAAGAATGAGCACTCAATTCAACAGTGCTCAGAATAATCAACAGAGTGTACAATTATAATTCTGAGTATAGAACACAGCACAATAATACCTTTAACCAAAAAAAAATTGTTTCTTTAATGAAAGAGCTCAATTTCAGAAATTAGTTTGCATACCTATGTGCTCTATTCCATAATTGCAATTTTTCAACCAATATGTTTAGGTTCATAAATGCTGTTTTCATATAAATTTGCTCTTATCTATAAATGTAATTTTCAGTTTTGTGTGCTCTGTTTGACAAGTGTTCTTTTGCACATGTGTGCTCTGTGGATATTGTATTCATCCCTGAAGACAGGCAATCAGTATCATGTGCCTTGCCTGATTGTCACAGGCATCAGGGCCAGGATTTCAGAAGATTATGCTTAACTAGAGATGTGAATTACTAATTAAATAATTAGATTATTAAATCTTTTTATTTTTTATTTTGAATGTAATAAATGTAATTTTGTGTTGTGTGTTTTCATATATACACGCTCTGTTCCATATATATAGTTTTCCCACAGATGTCATCTGATAAATAAATGTAGTTCTCACAAATGTGTTCATTCCATAAATATAATTTTGACATATTTTTGCTCTTTCCTATACAGGCACTTTTAACATATTTGTGCTCTGCCCATAAATTTAGCTTTATTATACAAAGTTCTCTGTGACTTAAATGTCTCTGTGACTTAATGTCATCTTTGCATACGTAAGCTCTTTTACATAAATAAATATAACAGAAACAGTGACTTACGATCCCCCTCCAATGGACACAAGTTACACTGGCCACTAACACCCCAGGCCGAGGCTTTTGTACAGCAACATTCAGCTCTTGTCAGATTACCAGCCCTTGGAGCTTGGCAGCGTCCATATTCAAATCCATCATAGCAAGTTCCAGGTCTGCCATCTAGAAAAAATGTGAATTAGAAGTTCAAATGTCTGACATTTTAGATGGTCACTTTGAGATTATTTAGCTAAGGTTAATTGAGTATTCTGTGCAGTAGGGTTATTCAACTGGCGGCCTGAAGGCCTAATCTGATCAGCAAAAGCTTAGTAGTGGCTGATGGATCATTACCAGTTGTGTTGTGGTAATGATCTTTGTATATTAGGGTTTGGGCCTCTAGCCAGTGGTGATCCCCATTTTCAAAATTGTGGCCCCTGGGGAAACTTAGTTGAATAGCCCTGCTTTACTGGATGTTGCAGAACCAATTCCATCAGTTTCTGGCTGATGTTTTTCTAGGAAATTTTACGTTCATTAGTTTGTCATTGTTTTTTTAATGGTCAGCATTTAATACGACTATCAAAATCCATGCAAAGCAGACTTCTGCCAAATTGCCCACACATGGAATAGAACTGTGTGCTATGAAATTACACACTGTGCTCACACTACCCAAGCCACAGATGTCCATTTTGCCAAATATTAGCAAATAATGAAGTGTTTTTGCTCTGCCTGACTCTTTATCTATTTAGTCTTCATTTTATAATCTATCATCATCATCATCAGGTGCCTTGCCAACTGGCGTGGGCGATCATGCCTCTCCATAAACTGCGATCTCCTGCAGTATGTATCAGTTCATGTGCCGACACACCTCCATGCCATGCAACAAGACTGTCAAGCATCTTCTCTCGTTGTCTTTCTCTATCTCTCCTTCCACATATCTTTCCAGTGGTCACAACATGTTCTATTTTCCCTCTTCTCATAACATGGCCGAAAAATGATGACTGTCTCCTTCTGATGTCTGTGATAAGTTGTTTTCGGGCTCCCGCCTCTTTCAAAACCTCTTGGTTGCTCTTTTTGGCTGTCCAAGGTATTCTAAGCATTCTTCTGTAAAACCACATCTCCGAGGCCTCCAGAAATTGTTTGGCCTGCCTACCAATTGTCCAGAATTCACAGCCATATGTTAAAACTGGATGTATGTAGCAAGCAAGAATTCTTTTTGTAACTCTCAATGACAAGGATATAATGCACAAGATGTTTTCCTTTTATAAAATGCAGTTTTTGCCTGTCCTATTCTATTTCTTATCTCAGTTATGCATCTTCCATCTGATGTTATGCATGTGCCCAGATACTTAAATTTCTTTACTTGTCCTAAAATAACACCATCAACTTTTATTACACACTTAGGAATAATTCGTTTCTTTGATACCACCATTACTTCTGTCTTCCCATTATTCAAACTGAGGCCCATTCTTCCACTTTCTAACACCACAATGTCTATCATTTCCTGTAGTTCTTTCTGACTTGTTGCTATCAAGACTGTGTCATCAGCATAACACAAATTGTTTATATTGTGCCCACCAACCACAATTCCTGGCATACCAATTAAAGCTCTCATTATATATTCACTGTATATTGAAAACAATTCAGGTGACAGTACACATCCTTGTCGTACGCCCCTTTTTATGCTTTGAAATGTATCTAAACAGTTGTTAATTCTTATAGCTGCTGTTTGCTGCCAATACATGTTCTTTATTATTCGTAGATCTTTCCTATCAATGTTTAATTTTTCTAACAGTTTGATTACTTCTTCATGCTTCACAGTCAAATGCTTGTGTATAGTCTATGAAGCATATGTACAAATCAGTCTTTACTTCTATAGCTCTTTCTGACAATGTCCTTAGGATGTATATGTCATTGTTTGTACCATTTCCTTCTACAAATCCACATTGTTCATCGCTGATTTCAGGTTTAATTTTGTTTCTTTTTCTTCTCATAATTATTCTCAGTAAAATCTTAGTCATGTGACTCATAAGACTTATTGTGCGATGGTCTTCATATTTTATAGTGCCTGGTTTCTTAGGCAGAGCTATAAATATGGATTTTAAAAGCTCATTTGGAATATACCCACTATTATAAATATCATTTAAAAGTTTAGTTGTTATTTCAATTCCAAAATCTCCCAGTGCTTCGATTTCTTCCAGTGAGATGTTGTCTGGCCCGGGTGCTTTTCCTTTCTTCATATGATGTATTGCATCCTCAACTTCTGCAGTCATTATTGGTGGACCATCATTGTTGGTCTGCAGTTCTACATCTGGTCTATTATCATCATACAGTTCCCCAATATACTCTGTCCATCTGTTAATTATATTACTATGTCCCATTAATAAGTCACCATCTTTTGATTTCAAACATCCAGTGTTGTTACGTGTCATCTTTCCTGTTAACATATTTATCTTTTGGTACATAGAATGTGAGTCTTTCCTGTTGTTTTCCCCAATCTCTGCACACATTTGATTCAGCCAGGCTTCTTTAGCCACTTTGCATTTGTTCACTATTTCTTTTTGTATTCTAAAGTATTCTACTTTATCATTCTTTTTCTTCCTTCTTTCATCCATCAACTGCAGAATTTCGGTTGACATCCATTTCTTTTTTGCAACTCTATGGGTTGGTGGGATTGTCTCTTTAGATGTCTGCTGAATTGACTCACGCAACATATCCCACTGTTCATCAATAGTCTGTATAATTTCCATTGCATTATACTGGTTTTGTACAGTGACATTGTACTGGTCCTTAATTTCTTTATCCGTTCTAAGAATTCCTAAATTTAACTTGTTCTGTGGTGTTTTTCTAATGTTCTTTAGTTTTATTCTAATTTTTCCTACAACCGGAACATGGTCACTAAAGCAGTCTGCTCCTGGTCTAGTTTTTGCTCCAACTAAGCTGCTCTGGAATCTTCTTCAAATCAAAAATATAATCAATCTGATTGTGGACATTATCACCAGGACTTTTCCAAGTCCACAATCTTCGAGGATGGTGTTTAAACCCCGTGTTACCTATTATCATGCTGCGCGACTTAGCCCATGCTATTAATCTGTCACCTCACAGTCTATACTGTACAAATATCTAATATAATAGGATTATAAATGTGCCTAACATTTTTTTTAAAGAAATACAAACACACAGTAAAGTATAATATGGCAGGTGAATGTAATAAACATGGAATGAAGGAACTGACTGCAAGTCCTATCTAATGTATAAATGACGGGCCATGATGAGGATGATTTACATAGTGACATAACATTACTAGAAATGTTAGGTGCAGTTTCAACTTCATAGAAATTGGTCACTCCTATAACTGCTCCATTTCTCTACCAGCTAGCATGCCATTTAGAAAGACTTTATGTGTATGAATATTAACTGAACTATTTTGTGTAGAAATTTACAACACATACTAGCTACAGCTTCTGGCCAGCCCACGCAGTCTTACTTAATTGTTTAGAGAAGAAGTTTTGAGACTTCTAACACAGTGTGTGTGTGTGTGTGTATATATTTCAAATAAGATTTCTTCCTTCCACAAAAATTGCTTTTCAAAGCTAGTGAGCTTTATCTATTTGTAGCAGACTGGTATTATGATACCAGATACATGCCATTTATTTCTTTTCCTGTTAATATACACATTTTTGCAACAAAGAAGAGGCACTGGGAAAAGCACAAACCCAAAGAACATCTGAACATAGGCTTTAAATTCATCTTCTACTTCAGTTTTAGCTATAATATTTAGAAAATGACTTAACAGAAGAAATATAAATAATTTTCTGAGATCTAATAAAAAACATTACCGCTATTTTGTTTTTAAAAAAAACAAACATAACTAATTTATAAGAGTACACTGCAAATAAGAATATTAACTCTTTGTGTCCCAAGGAACGCATCATATGTTCATAGATTCCTACCTAGAAGCCGAATGAACGCAAGATGCACCGATTTTACGTCTATCTTGACTACCCCTTGGGCCTGTGATGCTAAACCCCCTGAAACTCAAAGAGTTATGCTGCAAAATTAGTTATAAAGTTTCAAAAAGGTATCTACAATGTTATAAGAAGAAGGAAACTGAAACACCTTGTGACCACTTGAAATATCTGTGGGAAAAAAAAACAGAGGAAGACAATGTGAGATGATTACCAACAGCCTTTTATCATGTCAGGGCATGGTGTCAACACACACAATGGTACATGTTGCTGAAGATCGCAGACTGTGGAGAGGCAGATCACCCACGCCATCAACAGGCACTTGATAATGATGATCCTTATGGAAAAGCACAAGAACCTACTACCCTAAGGCTATGCAAAACTGGGAGGTGAAAGATGAAACATACAGACCCAGACTGCTACAACATAACAGCTACTACTCAGTGAATACACACATAAAATAAATACACCTATACTGCTGGCCTACCTATGCATGCCATGCCATCAGGAGTGACATCAAAGCCAGGAGGGCACAAACACCTAAAACCTCCTTCTGTGTTTTCACATCTTCCATCCAAGCATACATCGGTCAATGTTCGGCACTCATTGATGTCTGTCAAGATAAACAACTTCATTTAAGAACAGGCAAACCTTAATGTGGAATTTTAGAATTTGTTACACATATTTATTAAATATGTGCAGTATGTGACATGTAAATAAACATGTTAGCTACAGTAATACCTTGTTAACATGAACCTGCTTAAAAACATTTGGTTAAGATAAACAGAATTTTGGTCCCAGCAAGGATGTATTATTTATAATACCTCTATTAAGTCCCCCAGTTAATACAAATTTCTTTGACACCAATTCTTAATTTTTTTGTCTTGGAATTATGTTTACTGAGTTTTTACTACATAAATTCAAATTAATGATCGTCAGTATCAAAATTATCGTCCTCATCATCACGTTGCTAACACCAGTTAATTGATTGAAACTCCTTTGGCCCTTTAGCAAACAATGCTAACATGTCCTACACAGATTATTTCTATTAACAGCATACAAGGGTGGTCCAAAAAGAGACAGGTACATAAAAAAAAGTACATTAAAAAAAAACTGTCTATGTGTGTGCTTGACTTAGAATTTAGTTAGTCTTGTCTCTTTTTTGACATAGCTGCCTATGCTGTTTGTTGATATACTGCTCATAAAATATTTTCTATTTTTGTTTTCAAGCATTTGGAAAATTGTTTTTTAATATAGCATGCAGACTTAAAAGCAAATTTTCAATAATCTCTTGTATTAAATAGCTTTTTTCTATGTTTTGAGGAGTATTGGTTGGAATGTTGCTATCTCTCCATTTTTATAGACCAATGAATGTTCAATAAGTGATGGGGTCATATTACATCAGCTACCTTAACTCTTCCAGTAGTAGGTAACTCACCATATGATTACTCAATACTGTATACTGTATACATTAGCTAACTGTTCCTATTCCATTCTTATATTACGCTAATGCTTTCTGAGAGGTAGCTTTTTAACTCATCCTGCTGCACATTTATATAATTTTGGTTTACTGAGACACAGATTGTCATTACAAACTGCATAAACTTTGAATTAGAAAGTGTTTAAGTAATGACTGTCTGGTACTTAAAGAGTTAACTTCCCAGAACATGTCATGGTACCAGTTGTTAGGCTGGATCTACAGGTGAGCCCAGATCAGGTGTAAAAATATACTGTGATGATGACTGGAAACATTAACACCCATGCTGACAAGCATTAGAATTAGCAATTGCATTAATTCCTCTCTCTTATTCTACAATAGATCAGTATAAAACAGCAACTTCACTCTCTGCAGTACTAAAATGTATCGATTCTCCTCCTCCTCCTTCCCTTTCTTATCCTGCTGCTGCTGTGACTGCTGCTGGTTCTCCTCCTCCTCCTCCTCCTTCTTCTTCTTCTTCTTCTTCTCTTCTTCTTCTTCTTCTTCTTCTTCTTCTTCTTCTTCTTCTTCTTCTTCTTCTTCTTCTTCTTCTTCTTCTTCTTCTTCTTCTTCTTCTTTCTCTTTCCAGTTGCTGACTCCATATAACAGCAACTTCACTCTGAAAATTTAACACAGTTCATTTCATGAAAAGTATTTAACAATTTAAAAAGTTACCTAAACAAGTTCTGCCATTGGGTGCAAGCTGATAACCTTTGGGGCATGTGCATACATAGCTTCCTTCAGAATTCTGGCAAGTTCCACGCTCACACATTGCCGAAAGTTCAAGGCACTCATCAACGTCTGCAGATTGAACAAATGAATGCTATTTAATAATCACAGAGAATTATTCCTCATGTATCGGGTTCTATGCAGAATGTCTTCCCACCAAGGGCTACCTAAAAGCCTTTTTTTTAAAGTTCTTTACAAATTCCACGGTCTCTAGTACTTTTATGCCCAGGATTTGCCTATCTCCAAGATTTTTGGTAACATTTAACAGAAAAAATTACCTTAAAAATGAGTCAACTAAAACTAGATTACAACATATATGCCACTATTAGTGTCTATTAATAAGGTAATTTAGGGGGTGAGGGTGGGAATCATAAAATATGATTAGATAGCTCAACAGAGGGAATTTGAAAAGATGACACAAATACAACCACAAGTTTTGAACAGTCTTTATCAATGGAGTAAATACAACAACACAAACTGTGACTGCAAAACTTAACAGACAAGACAAGAGAGCTTCTAAACAACAAAGGTCAACATAAAACCAAGAAATACATAATGGTGTGTGTGTGTGTGTGTGTGGGGTTGGGGGAGGGGGGGGATGTGGACAAAAAGGTCTATATTGCACAATGAAATAGGTGAGAAGGCATTTGAAAATGAAGGTGAGACATTTAAACAAGTTAAATAAATAAATAAAATTAAATTTAGCTGGGTTAAATATTGATCTCTCCAGGGCTGAGAAAGCCAAAACTGTGAAAGAAACTAATGAGTAAATCATTCTAAATCTATATCCATTTAAAGTCATTGTTGGACCACACAGAATTCACAAATGATTTCTGCTGCTGCCTGTCTGCTGTTTTTTTCTGTCAGTGGTATCATGTAACTTTCCACCATTTCCTTTCTATTGTTTTTCACCAGGCTTCTTTAGGTCATCCACATCTCCTTTTCCATCTGCTGTTCCTTGGAGAAATGTCCTCGCCAAAGTGCCACGAGGCATTCTGAAAGCATCACTTGAGCATCAATCAATCAATCAGTCAGCATGTTCTTTGGAGATCATCACTCTCTTCACAGCCTGCCTGAAATTCTCTCTTTATCTAGCCAATTCTCTAGTTCTGTGTGCTTTCATAGCCAATGCATCTTCAATGTCTTGCATCCACCATTATATATTTTAAAGATTAGCGTCTGCCTCATTTCGAGAAATTGAACCCTCGATCTTTATGACCAAAGCCTAAATTATAAAAAATGTAATAAACAAAGAAAGATTACATGAAGACACTTACCCCTGCAGTGCTGTTTATCTGAAGACACAGTATAACCATCAGGGCACTGACATGTGAAACTCCCATGTGTGTTTACACATCTTCCGTTGGTGCAGATGCCAATCATCACTACACACTCATCAATATCTATGTGAAACCAATGTCATAAGATCTGTTTTTATTCTAAAATATTTTATAAAGCACCACATTTTTTGTTTGAAGCTTCTTCAGAATTTAAGGTGATGTCATGGTAAATACATAATAAGTGTTTGAGATGTTAGACCTTGTAGAGGTGTGATGCTCATTCACTTTCTCTGCTCTCCAGATTATTCTAAAAATTATCTGGCGCCCATTGCAAACAAGCTGCAGTAGCAGATTAGTTAGTGTTTTATTTTTTTATTTTTTTAACAATGGATCAAAATCATGGCACAAAGGTAGTAACCCAAAAGTGCTCCATTCTACTTCTAACTCAAGCCTGAGTCTGAAGAATCTCAGCGCAGTGCATGAACTCCGTAGCACCGGCGAGGATCCTGAAATACTTTAGGTAGATTTTTAAACTCAAAATTTTATCTGGGATTTTTTTACATGCCAAACAATACACATGGGCTTCCGATCTTACTATCCAGAGACTGGGGAAATTTACTAGAAGTCCACATGAAAAATCCAAGCCCTCATCGAGGCCTGAACCCGGGACCTCCAGCACTCGAGGTGGATGACATGCCCCGAGACCACTCATTCCCCAAAGTTAGTGCTTGCTTCATGAAAAGATATCCAGCAAATGAAAAGTAGAACGACTCAGCTTTACCTTGTCATAAATACAAATGACAAGTGGACATAGCAGCTAGAAAGTTTTCATCAACACATGATGAGAACGGTTTTGGCACAGATGATTAGAGGCTGGTAGGTAAGTGAGAGGACAGGGCAGTTGGGGTGATGTTTTGGACTGAACATTAGGATCTTACACAAGTGATAGATCATGAGTGGTGAAAGTAAGCAGATAAGATGTGTTCCGGGTAATCTCAAAGTCAGAAGAAATCCAGCATTTCCAGGGCCTTATGTGGAAGTCATCATTATCCTGACACAGTCCATGTAGGCATAGAAGCTGGAAAAAGGAATGGTGGAGTCCTTGCAGGAAGAAGGATGGAAGGATGTGTAAAGGAGAAAATTATGAGAATCAGTAGGCTTGTAGAATACTGAGGTACTGATGCCTTAGAATCCAAGGTGACAGTGAGATCTAGAAAATGCACTGATGTCAGCACAATGCTGGAAGTGAGTTGGATGCTGGGATGGAAGCTGAAAAAAAAAACAAATCAATGAAGTCCTGCTGTTCTGACAGAGATATACCTCCTCTAGAGCCAGGGGAGGCTTAAGGTGTATACATTTCTGATGTTCTAGGTAGCTCATAAAAAGGCAGGCATAGTTGCATTCATTCTTGGTGCCCATAGCATCACTGTGGATCTGCTGAAGTAGTGACCAATGAACTTGAAAGAGTTGCGAGTGAGCAATAACACCCAGATGTACTAACGGGTCAGTGGCTTTAGCTAGAGTGATTTTGCAATCTAGAAAGAATCGCAAAGCCTGGCAACCATCAGAATGTAGAACAGATGTGTAGAGAGAAGTAACATCTAAGGTGAAGATGTGGTACCTGGAAGGAGAGGTGAATTGATCAACTGGAAGACAGAGATAGCATGGTTGGTGTCCTTGATATAGGAAGTGTATTAGTGCTTGCATGCATTGACAATGTTTGGAGTTCAATCTTCAGCAAAGGCTTGACTATTTACAATCTGGGGTTGATCCAGCCTAGTAAAAATAAGCACCATACAATTTTCCAAATGTTCTGGGCCCCATTGAAAGGGGGGGGGGGAAGGGGGGATAGACCTACTGTACCCCCCCCTCACCCACACCACCCCCTCCAACAAGCATGTTGACTAAACAGGAGTGTTACTTTCTAGTTTGGAAATTATCAGACAGAGGCAAGGAATCAACTGTTTGAATACAAAAATGCCAGCTCTGTAAAACTGATATGAAGTCCATAAGTGGATAAAGAACCAGAACTTTTCACCAGAGTTTACAGTCAGTGAGCACTAAGAAGGAGAAGATGTTTATGCTCTCGCCAAGGCAAATGAAAATGATAATAATAACCACTTACCAGTACAGTCTCCTGCCGGGGTTAGTGTGAAGCCAGTGTTGCAGTGGCACCTATAGCTGCCTGGTGTGTTCACACAGGTACCATTTCTACAGATACCAGGTCTGTTTTCACACTCATCAGTGTCTGAAGGATTATTCCATGATGTTTTAATGAAGGAGACAAGAGATGATGAAATTATCAACCAACATTCATTAAATTAATGGCAAATTATCTTCTAAAAGAAAGCATATGTTTCATTTTGATCTAAACATAGTGAAGATGAAAAAATTAAATTGTCAGTCTATAAATAACCTGGCTACTTAGTGACTTTTGATTAAAGTTGTGACACAGAGAAAAGTACACACAAAAACCAAATCCAAGGATCTTTTACTAGAAGGAAAAACAAAAACTACAACATAAAAATCCACTTACTTGGTGGTCATTTTTAAAAAAATTATTATTAAAAGATAAATTTGAATGTAGGACAATGAGTAATATAAGTGATGAAACTTAAGGCAGTTTTTTTTTTTGGAAAAATGTTGAGAATATTCTATAAATAAAATAACACTGTGTGTATTGTATTCTGGTGTTAACAATTTTTAAAACCGCTCTCTCAGATAATAAAACACACACTGCTTCAGTGTATTAATTCACACCTAACTTCATTATATTCCTACCAACCTGTAAAAATACCATTAATTTTCCAACCATCTAATAAAAACTGCTAAGATAGGCTGACTGCAGCTGCCACCATGCTGTTTTAAAATTTCAATTGGATGCTTTATTACAAATTTAGCTAATTTTGATAACTTTGCGTAATCTTTGTGAAAGCAAGTGTATACCTATGCAAGCCTCTCTAAGGGGCGAGAGATTGTAGCCATCATTGCAGATACAGCTGAGGCTTCCTTTCAGATTCATGCACTTTCCATTGGCACAGACTCCTGCAATTTCCTCACATTCGTTTATATCTGAGGGATATGAAGATTGACAAACTGTTAATTCAAAATAAAGACAATATATTGGAATATACTGAAAGACAAAATATAAAGTCCTCACACGTGGAAAAAAATAGAAAACATTAAATTGGGTGACATATTTTATTATATTATCCTACTCAATTTTATCAATTAAAAATACATTACTGGAATATATTTTTTTCAGAGCAGGTCTTTCTGTAGTTTTATCCCCAGGCAATATTAGAATTAATTGATCTTATTGTTGTATGTGTGACTCCTGTGGGAAGCAAGTATAAGAATAACAAAGCTCGGTTGGTATTTGGGTGAAAATCCTTAGCCACAAAAGCCAACCAACAGTATTCAAATCTAAGTTTTGCCACTAGTTGGCTGAAGGCCTATACTTCACCGGAAGACAAATGGGCAGAAGAAAAAGAATGCATCTGCTAGACAGAAATGAACTGAGTTGAGTTGACTCAAAAACTGACATTATAGCACTAGGGGCACTCTCATATATGCTCCATCCCCATCTTCAGTGGCCAGCGCAGAGTTCCAATACTAATATTACCAGTTGTAGTCTGGTTATATGTCCGTCTTGCCTTCCCTTTAAGTGTAGCTGGCCGGCCAGACCCTCTGGTAACACCCAGGTTCCTCTTTCTCTCAAGGCCATAATAGTCCAGTTTATCTTGTGACTTCATTACTTGTTCCTAAAGGGCCTTAGCCACATCTGCCTTGTCATGTGTCAAATCACCCACTGGAGCAGATCGAGCCAATCTGTCTGCCTGTTCATTCCCCACCGCGCCTGGACAGAGGTAAGTTAATGCAAGATTAATTACACTATTCTACAAAAGTTAACGGAACAAAACAATAAAATAAAATATGAAAAAATGCATTATTTATGGGTCACTTGAAAACAACATGATAATAAACAGACTAATTAAAATGAAAGATAACACTGTCAGTTGGAAAACATTCTGTGCAACAAAATGGGCAACCCAAGGAAATAAAAATTGGATTTTTAGCATGTTACATACTGCCCATACTAAGGTATGCTTGTGAATTATGAAAACTGAATAATGAGATTAACCCTGTCACCCCGAGATGCTGTAAACTTCCATTTGAGTAAAATTAATCATAAATTTTATTTTTTGACTGTTCTACGGTGATGTATTTACACAGAACATAGTTAATACTACTGGCAGCATTTGCCAGAACTCCACACTGAGTGGTAAAGTTATGAATATATTAGCTAAAGATAGCAATTAGGGTGCTTTCCTGTGAACCAAATAGCTTTTTTAAAGCCAAGTGGTCATCAAATATTCCTGAAATGTCACCTGATACATATTTTTTTAGGAAATGTTTTCTATTTAATGCTTTACTCTGTTTGTGTCTATTGATAATTCATTTAATATCTCTTATTATATTTCGAAAAACAAAAATTTTAAACATGCAGATAAACAAATGTTTTTAAACATTTTAGAGACCTGTGTAAACAAATTTGTTTTTGTTTTTGTTTAAAAGGATTTTTTTAAGGAATTCCCACAGGGTCATTACCCATTTTTTTGTTAGCATCACCAGGGCAAGAGGGTTAAAAAACACACACAAAAACTGGACCCCTCCATGATGTGTTTTTGTGTAGAATGCTAAGAATCACATAAAGTACAGAAAAGACAAATCAAATATTCCAGTGCTGCAAATAGCAAACTCCCAAAGGCAGCTGATAGCTCATATGATGACAATACAGCTGTCATTTTAAGTCACATTATGAGATGGAAAGGTTTGGAGAAAACTGTGACAAATGAAAAGATCATAGGTCTTAGAGACAGAGGTTGTCAGAAGTACAAATTGCTGGATGGGGTGCAGAGTAGTAAAAATTGTTTCTCGTTGAACTTTCTGGAGCACAGAGAAACAATGATTGTGAAATGATTCCCATGCTTCCTGGCATAGCACATAATGATGATTACTAGACTCCATTTAGTAATACATTTTACCTGCAGAATAAAGAGATTTAATAATCTAATACAGTTTTTTCTTTGGTAATTCAAGTTTTCAGTATACGCAATATCTGGAATCCTCACCCTGACATCTGCGCCCATCAGGCAAAAGTCTATATCCTTCTGGACATCCACACTGGTAGCTTCCTTGGGTGTTGATGCACTGAGCATTGTCAAGGCAAGGGCTGATGGTACGCTGACATTCATCATCATCTGTTTATGAAATATACAAAGCATAGTATATTTATTTGCATTAGTTTATGGTATAGAATGACAGGCCAAAATAAAAGGACATAAGGGTATTTATTATCTCTTTATAATTCTGTTAACTGAAATTGAAATGTAATAGACCTATGATAGTAGAGAAAACATTCAACCTAGTGGTTTCTCTTATTTCTGTTTTCTTCCTTAGCTTCTAGGAGTCCTGACAAATGTTAATTTTTTCATCCTGGGTCTTCACTGATTTCCTTATTAGTTTCCTTTGTTGGCTTTCTATCATACCTTATTCTTTATACTCCAGTGAACCACCATGGCATTTTAGGTAGACTCTCATATGTGGGTCCAAAGGCCATGGGTTCAAGGTGACAATTTAATTCACAGAAATGTAAGATAAATAGTGTTCTTCAAATATTTGTGAATTAATTTATATTCAACTTTGTAATTTAACTACTCATATTTCTGGAATGTAAATTGTTTGTTGTATGTTACATGCTTTATTATCTTAGTATCGATTATATGTTGTGTGTGTTATAGCTTGTTGGAAAAACAAAGCTTCAAATTAATTATTTATTCTCATAATTATAATTCCATATTAATTTATCAAAACTAAAGAAGAAAAGAATCAATAATAATTAACTAACCCGACATTGAGACATGAAGATTACTCATGCACATCCTGCCATCTTTGAGGTTAAGAAAGGCATCATTGTAACTAATATATAATGTGAACTGTCAGTCAATAAACCGTGGGACCTACATCAGAGGACTGACACTGCATAGGAATTCTTAAAGTGCTGAGGTCAATTCTGATAACATAATATAACATACAAAAACAAACATAATTAATACCTTCACAAATCTGCCTGACATCATCATAAACATAGCCTCTAAAGCACTCGCATCTGAAGCCATATGGTAAATCTCTGCAACGTCCATTCCGACATAGATCAGGATTGACCTCACACTCATTGATGTCTGAAATAAAAATCCAGATCTGAAATATCTAGAATATTACAAGAATGATAGGCAAAAGCATAGAGAGTCTTTAATGAAAGCAGTGACAAACAATGTCATCTTGTGTATTTATCTATAAAGTAGTTCAGTTTTATTTAACTGTGAATACAAATAGGTAACATGAACTATTAAGCACTGATATCTGCCATTAATACAAATCCTTTCAGAATTAAGAAGCAGTTCTCTTTTTGTAACTCTTTTAACCCCAGAAGGTCCTAGCTAACATCTGAGGAGGCAATAATGACAACACTAAACTCATAGGTGTTCTATTTCTACAGGGAACAATTGCACGCTTCTTGTAGGAAACACTTATGTTGCCAGAGTTCAAGGAGTCTTTAGAGTCTTTAACTGAATATAAAATGAAAATGAAACAAAAACCTGTTGATTGGAAAATAATAATAATAACTAGACATAAAATGTGCATACTTTGGGACTGAAAGAGTTAATGAATGTCTAATATTGCATTTAACTAATATTTATATAAATTTTACCTGTAATTTTTGTTGGGCCCTTTTCACACAGGTTTTCATACTCCCCTAGATAGAAGAAATTTGTAATCATTAATATATAAAAAAAATAATTTAACAAACATACTGATTAATAAAATTGAAATAGACAATTTTATCTATTGGCAAACATGTCAACATGACCTGACAATTCAAAATCTTCAGTTATTTTGTCTGCCTTTTTTTAAAGCATTAAAAAAAATAATTACTGGAAGTAAAGTGAGGATATAATGAACAATTTTACACAACTGACAATGAGTGTAATTTATTAACATTACATTTTCTGCTATTTAAGAAATTATTCTTGTCATTGCAAGCATGAAATCTAGCTTTGCCATAGTGTACATTATACTGTTTATCTTTTCCCGGTTGTTTCATTCATCATTTGACTGAGTTTTTATTGCGGACTGTCATACTTAATAACTGGCATAGGTCTGAAAAAATCTTTTTTAGTCGTTGCAAGTTTTTGCTTCTGACAGTAGTTACCCATTGAATTTTCCTCCATTTGTAGACTGAAAAGATATAGTCTCCATCACCCAGCTACTGAGGTGAGTGCATGGCACCACAAAGTGAGCTGAAGATTTCATTTGGAATGTTTTTCGACTGCCCAATATGGTGTGTGTTGCAAACTGCAGGTTCAGAAAATGGCGACAGTCCTGTCTCTATAGAACTAGTGGTGCCTAATGTGATTAAATGCATATGCAACTACTGATTTGTTGTAACTGCTGCTTCCATCCATGATCAACTCCTGCTTTCATCTATGATCAACTCTATTTCTAGTGTCGGACTGTTTGTGTTGGATCTGCAATTACCTGATTACCTGATTTATAACTGTTTTGTAATTTAGTTGATTTAAGAAATGTATGTTAGTTAATTAGATTATCCTCACTGCACATCAAACCATTCAATCCATAAGTGCTTGGATCCCCTCCTTAGTAAATCCTGCGCGTGTAGCGGCAGACAACACCCGTTCTGTCTTGATTTCTTATTCTTCTTTGCATAGTGATCTCATCTGGCCACACCACTTTTAATATGCTATTCTTGCAGTCTCATCATGGTTGCAGATTGATAGTCATTACTTGGTTCCTGCAAACATCTTACTTCTTACAGAGCATTCAATATATCGGCCTGGTCCATAGCACATCCAACCCTCCACAGTAGAATTTGAGAAATGTTTTTAAACTTCTATTATATCTATAATGTTGAATTTGTTTGTTTGTTTGTTTATTCAGTGGATCAACATCATGGCACACGGGTGTAACCTGTAAGTCCTCTGTATTCTTCTTCTTTGTGTTCACCAGCTGTACACTCTGGCGGAAAGTTCTGGTTGTTCGTCCACTACTGAACTGCAGTCATGCTCCAGAACCTGAGTGTTGCATGTGCATCAGTTTTACAGATCTGATTCAATTGAATGCAGACTGCTGGTTCCTTGCCTCTCAGGCAGATGCACTCCGACTTCAAAGGAAGCTCCCCAGTTAGTCGACTCTTACGACATGCTTTTGGGGAGGCAGTGGGTCTATTCTTGTTTTCCCCACAATAGGGCCCCGGAACCCACACGGGGGGTCCTCTGTATAAAGTAAATAAACATTGACAGCTGATTGGAATATGTTACAACTTACTACAATGCACAGCAGATAAGAACATAAATATAGACATACTTGAGCCTCTAGTAGGACATGCTGTACAAGGTTTTCCCCAGGCTGAACCAAATAAGCAGCAACATTGGAACCTAGTTTGAGGTGTGGAAAGTGGATCTGTACAGACAATGTTCTGTGTCCGTTGAGAAACATTTCGGTACTCCCTGTAGCAATCTTCTTTTCTCATGTCTGTAAGAACACAAGGGATAAAGGACATTTTACACATTTATTTAGATAAGTAGTAGTAAAATCTAATTCTGCCTTAAAACTAACATTCCCACAAAGATTAATTGTGACTGTTTTTGTGTGTGTCATTTAGTTTCTGTTTCATTGATTTGTTAGCATCTGTGGCTCAGGCATTGCAAACACGCTCTATAATTCTATGTGCTGGGTTTGAGCCTAGTTGCAGGCAGTTTGGCAACAGACCACCTTGTGTTGGTTTTAACAGTGGTATTTAGAGCTGACCATTCAGTGAGCAATCCCCCGCAATTGATTTCCCGTCATTGTAATAAGTTATTTGCAGTATATCACTAATCAGAAGGGGTCTTAAACTGCTACCAGTTCTCTGTCTTATGAATTTTCATGAACAAGCCGTCTTTATTGTCCCAAGGGGTCTCCGTGGTGAACTGGTCAAGCCGTCTGCCTTGGGCTCTGAAGGTCGTGGGTTTATTTCACAGCGGTGCCACAGTTCACAAGTGCAATTCTCATGGAGATCCCTGGAGGTTGTGATCTGTGCAACCCTCTCAGCAGGCACCTGGGTATTCTGCAAAGAAAGACCCAGCCATAAGGGATTAAACCCGGCGCAATGAAGTCGATCCTCTACCTTTATTGTTCCTTGTTCACCTTCATGTTCCTTGCCTTTACTTTTCCTCTGTGGAACCATTCTTCTAACACTGCTGTTTCTAAGCCACTGTTAATAATATTGATAGAGTATTTCAATTAAAAAAGGCATGATGCTGTTTTAGGCTGAAGAGATCTGCAAAGATAAACATCCAAATTTTGTGATTTGAACCCATGATTACTGGGCTGACAGGCTAGTGCAACAGCCAATGTGCTACTGCAGTTTCTATTGTTGGCAAGGTTACTGTGCAAAGTTTATGAACTACCGAACAGGTTGATACACTAAATATCCTCAGAAATAAAGAAATATTGCGTGAAATCAGAGATGGCTAAATCTGCAACAGTGACCATTCTACATGACAGCAAGCCAGAAGAGGTGAAACAGACAAGGCAGCTTCGGAGAGAGCTAGAGATTAGTAAACAGAACTGGTTTTGTAAGTAACACAAATTTTAGGAATAGACTGAAAGGGCATCCAAGCACTTATGGGCTCAATGGTGTGATATGAAATAAGGATGATCTGTTGACTAAATAATTCATTCAATCATTGTCCTGTTGGACCATTATATGCCACATAAGGCTTGCAGTCTATTTCTCTTTTCTGTTCTATCCCATGCAATCGCTTTGATATCATGTATGGGATCCAGTCCAGCACCTTCGGCCTCTTTTATAGGTGTTCACCTTAGGGTTTCTCTTGGATGTCCTCATAATTTCTTCACTTCCTCTATTTCCTATTTCAGTGTCTGTTTGGTGATTGGTTGCTTTGCAAGTTTTTGTAGCAAGTAATTTTTTTTTTTAGCAAGGTGGGGTAGTTGGCTCCATGCCCAAACCTTCTTCTTTCTCATCTGGATTTGGGACCAGCAATGGCAGTGACTACATAATTGGGTTGATTTAATTTGATTTGATTCAAGGACTGACAGCACAGCACTTGGGGCATTTCCATAAGCGCCCCATCCCCATCTTCAGCAGCAAGCGAAGAGTTCCAATACTAATGGTGCCAGTAGCATTCTGATTAAACGTCAATCTTGCCTTTCCTCTGAGCCTCGAGCATCTGCCAGAACCTCTTATCACTATCCCCCTTCATCAATCTCACAAGACTGTGGTGATCCATCTGCTCCTCCGAACTGTACACACTCTCCCACAAGGTACTAACCATGTCTGCCTTATCATGTATCAGTATTTCACCAAGTTGTGCAGATCCAACCAGTCTGTCCGCCTGTTCATTTCCCAACACACATAATTGGATGGTATTATTTATTAATCTACACAGCTTGTAAATGTTACATTTACATACCCATGCAAGTTTCTCCATCCTCCATCAAAATGTGTCCATCTGGACATATACACTGGAAACTGCCTTCTGTGTTAATGCAACGGCCAATCCCACAACGATCTTGATCAATTTCACATTCATCAATATCTAAACAACAAGAAGAGAAATTAAAACACAAATGGTTCTTCAGACTGAGTGAAAATCTGACTTATTCAAATCTTGATAGAAAAGCAGCCATTTAAAACACACACGCACACACACACAAACATATATCAGCACTCAACACAGTCTAACATTTAAATAATTAGCTAATTTAATTATGGCTATGATAAAAACACCATATTATTTAGCTAATAAGAGTTGTGCAGTTATGATGCAGCAAAGAGTAAAGTAAAGGTCTCTTTTCACGTTAGTGGGGTATAGGGCACATGAGGCTAGACTCATATGTTTACAGATCAATCCGCTCTCCGTCTATGATGTGGTCAACACCGCGCCGGCCACCGCTACCATGGTACCCTTTTAAGTTGGGTTGGTCAGGGAACCTAGGTCATGTTATGGTGCAAAAAGCAAACATGGAATTCTGTTTTAAATTTGGAAAAGTGCTATTACTTGTCATATGTTGCCTGGTCGGTGTCAGAATTTGGCTAAATCATAGACGAAAGATGCCTGTTTGGATAATAAGCATTGCTTCAGAGATGGCCTTTTCTCTTGACCATAAAAAAATCAGTCTAATGATTTAACTGCCAGACGGTGAACAAGAGAGCTTTACTAACAGTTAAATTTCATCTGAATGTATTTAAAAAAACAAAACAAAAATCCTGTCTTCTATAGAAAGTAATAGGTTTAATGAACCCAGTAAAAAACAACTACCAGATAAAAAGTACATTATTTGAAACAAAAGGCAAATTTAGCCTCCCCCTCCCCCAACCCTTCCTCCTCCCTAACCCTTCCCTCTCCCAGCAGATCTAACAAATAAACAGTAAATATTTAAAAAAAAACTATTTAAGAAATAAACAGCAAATCTACCAAACAGCTTATATACAACAAAAAACTGTATTTCCATAAAACAGCACATCTATGTAATAAACAATGCTTACTAAATAAACAACATATTTACAGATAAAGAGCATATCTATGTAATAAATAATACTTACTAAATAAACAACATATTTACAGATAAAGAGCACATCTATGTAAATAAACAGCACACAGAATAAAAAGCACATGCCAAATAAAAAGTTCATACATAAACAGCAAATCTATTTTTAAAAAGAACAGCACATACCAAATAAACAGCACATCAACAAACCTCTGCATTTTTTCTTGTTCTGATCAAGTCTGTATCCAGGGCGGCATGTGCACACAAAAGATCCAAATGTGTTTTGACATTCGCCCCCTTCACAAAGTCCACTAATCTCCAAACATTCATTAATATCTGAAATGTTAGTTTAGATTTATTTAAGTTAAGCATTGATATTAAACTGATGGCAATTAATGATCTTTAGCTAGATAAAAAGAGTAATGAAGATCTCTTGAAATGAGCTAACTCAAATAGAGAACTGACTGCTCACATCAGAAGGAGACAATCCTTGGTCATGCCAGAAGGAGAAAACTGGAGTACATCGTAGCCTTAGCAAAGTTGAAGGGAAAGAGAGGCAGAGGGAGATAAAGAAAGAAAATGCTGTAGAGTCTGACATTGGGGCATGGAAGATCATCTGTGTCAAAAGTGACCGAAAGAACATGAGACAGTAGATTGTAGACAGACATGACTTGCAACATCATACAGCATGGACTATAAGAAGAAGAAAAATGGTTCCTTCACTTTTTTGATAGTTTTTATAACCATTTCCCCCACATCAGAAAAATCCTGCATGAAGTTGAAATGACCAGTGAGGTACTGACCACATCACTAGAATTTTACACGCACATGTGAATTACAGATCTGGGTTTTTTTTTTTAATGCAGACTGTTGGTTCCTAACCTTTCAGGCAGATGCACTTCAGCTTCCGAGGAAAAATTCCTAATTAGCCATCTTTTATGACATGCTTTTTTAGAGAGGCACTGGGTCTATTCTTGTCCACACAAAATGGGGCCCCAGAACCTACACACTACGGTCAAGTCATTTAAGTTTAAAAAGGGCTGTCAGATCACATTAACACGTCGTGCTCTGTTCTTTATCCCTCCATGAAACAAGCCCAAAACCAACTCGCTCATTGTCTCACATTTTGCTATCAAGTGCAGTTTCACCCTCAGCTATTTTTCAACTTCGTCTTTCTTTCCTCCCTCATGAAACTATATTTTAGTTCTGTGAGTCTGGAGGTGACTTATAAGCCTGATACAGGACCGGAGGGATCTAGGACAATGAGGGCAGGGAACAGTGTCTGTAGGTAAAGCGCCTCTTATATGGGTCTTTCCAGCCTGTCTGCGCTGTTCAGCTGCCCTTTTTCTTGAAGCCTCACAGGTTTTATCGGTCTATATATTCTATAACCTCTTCTTGTCATTGTTAACATATAAGACATTCACAAATTATCTCCATTACTGACGGCTTGCTGCTTTTCTGCCTATGGTATGTAAGTTTACACTCCTTCCTTTGCCTTTCTACTGTTATTCTTCAAGCTTCCTTAGGTCATCCACATCTCTTTTTCCAGTGTGCCATTTGCTGGACAACCACCTATGCAGTGTCATGAGGCATTCTAAAAACTATGTCCAAACCACCTCCAGCTTCATTCTTTAAAAAAAAAAAATTAACTGAAGCAGATAAATCATAAAGCTGTTGTAAAACAAAACAAATCAGATCAAACAAATGAAATGCTTACCTTCTAATTCCAGTGTTATCAGATTTGGTTTAAAACCTGGTCCTCCTGGGCACAGAGCAGTTGCCTCAGCTGAAAATAATAAACTGTTTCAAAACATTGTTTACTGCTGTTAAATCTTTCATTTTCCAGGTAATGTTTTTAAATTTCTTTATTATTTAACCTAGGCATCTGCGGTTTAGGAGTTGTGAACTCAGTTCCATAATACTGCACAGCATGGTTCACCAATGACATCCTGCATGACCTGAACATCAAGGAGAACTGGCTTATAAACAGCATCCTCTTTTGAAAGTGGGTATGTCAAGCACCATGATGGTCTGGAGAGAATGATGATGAAGGGTCCAGAAAATGAGACAGAGGCTGAACTCTATGACTGTGGATACAGGACACTAAAGATGTATTGGCTATGAGAAAGAGAGACTACAAGCATGCTATGAAATGAGGGACATTCTGTAAAAGACATGCTGATTGACTGATGGTTCAAAGTCAGTGGCTGGTGATCTGGTAGTAGACTGTTCTGTGTTGGTCAACCAAATATTGTTTATTGTTGCACTGTTAAAAAAGCAATGCCAAACTAAAGAACGTAAAAATTGCTTAGTAAAACCATAAAGAACTAATTTGATTTGATTCAAGAACCGACATCACAGCACTCAGGGCATTCCCATAAGCGCTCCGTCCCCATCTTCAGCAGCCAACAAAGAGTTCCGATACTAATGGTACCAGTAGCTTTTTGATTAAACGTCCGTCTTGCCTTTCCTCTGAGCCTTGAGCTCCTGCCAGAACCTCTCGTCACCCCCAACTGCATCAATCTCACCAAACTGTGGTGATCCATCTGCTCCTCCGCATTGTACACGCTCTCCCACAAGGCACTAACCACGTCTGCCCTACCATGTAGCAGTATTCCACCAAGTTGTGCAGAGCCAGCCAGTCTGTCCGCCTGTTCATTTCCTAACACACCGGCGTGACCCGGTGAAAAAATCAAGACAATACTCCTTACTCGTGTTCTCCGCAGCGAAGCATGCCACTCTGCATGAAGCATACCTGTTCTGATCTTCCTCAGCATGCTTTCTGAATCAGTTACAATTACAATGTGTGTGTGTGTCGTGTTCTCTAGCCAGCGGAAAGCTGCAGTGACCGCCTCCACCTCCATTCCTAAGCTGGATGTTGTGGTATCATATGCTAGGCTCTCCTGCACCAAACTTCGACCATTAACTTTTGCTAAAAAGCCCCAAGCTCTTCTTTTGCCTCTTGACACTGAACCGTCTGTGTAAATAATTAAATCCTCTGAGCGAGCATTATCTTGAATTAATTGCTGAATTTCCACCTCTGTGGCACCTGCTGGCCAGTCTCTGCATTCCCAGCTCAGCGTGATTATGACTCTACACAAGTCTGACTGCTCAGGTGGCACTTTGACCCACTCCTCTCCTCGCCTAATGTTCTCAAGGATGCAAACCTGTCTGATTGTGTCTTCTGCCTGAGCCATCCATGACCTCCCTCTTATCAGCCGCTGACCCTTAACTGCACCCAGAGCTTCATGCAGAGGGTGGTCTGTGTCTGCAGCTACCCTGAGATATATAAAAAAAAGAACTAATAGATGCTGCGATTGGTTTGCAACTTTCTGAAGGAGTACTGCAACTAATACTGCAACTAACTTTTTACTGTACAGTGCAAGTCAATTCAAAAGAAAAAAAAATGGCTTCCTAAGAGAGAGCAAGAGAAAAGCAAAGAGATAAATACCTGGATGCTTGACCATATGGTTTGCAGTGAGATAAGAAAAGAACACCAACCTGATCTGTGATTCTGATAATTGTGTGAAACCTTGAAACAAAACAGCCTCCTATGCTTATCAGCATGGCACATGATGATGAAGATTTTATAATATGCAGTAAAACCTCATTAACATGAACTCACTTAATAAAAAGAATACTTTTTTTTTTACATAATAATCCAAACTGGGATGTTTTAATATGAGTTGATTTTTATTTTTTGGTCGCTTGGAATTCATGTTAACAAAGTTTAGTTTTTTTTTAAATGATTAAAATTCAAAAAAATTAAAAAGTTTACCTGAACCATTTTTAGGACAAGGTTCACAGAAACCAATCACCTCTCCCCAGCCTCTGCCCACACTACAACAGCAAGTTGCTCTTGACACTTCATCAGCAATCTTGTCATTACAAATGCCAGTGCGACCAGTTGAATACAGAGGCACATCCAGGTAACAAGATCCAACACGTTTGTCTACAATAGATACAAAAAACACAAATCAAACACTACATTCTTTAAGCACTGGGAATGCTGGACCCTTCTTACAGCATAAGGCAATCTCAATCAGAACAAAGAAACATTTCATGCAAAGCATTTTTAGTCCCACTCTATGCTATCAGTGCCAGACAAAGTCACAACAAACCAGACAAGAGTGTATGAGAAGGTCTGCAAGAGTTACTAGAAAAGATAAAATCAGGAATGAGGTCATAAAAAACAAACCCGGTTCCAATAATTACTGCCTGCATTTATCACTTTTGTGGTGTAGGTAGGGTGGTCTTTTAGCCTGAGGATTTAGGTCTGCATGGCTAGTGCTAGTTAGGATTTAATTTTTGCCTCTGACAAAAAAGGAAAATCCTTGACCGTACCCAGGTTTTGAACTCGGGTTTCCCATGTGCAAGCCTGTGTTCTTATCCATTGGTCAGCCACTTCTCTCTGAATTACATACAGTCAATTGGCTTGATAATTAAGACAGAATGCCTTGCAATGCAATAGCATGCAAGGCATACACCAAAAGAGGAGAAGATGTAAAGCAAGAGGTTGACCAATAGCAAGATGAGAAGATAAAATCAGAGACACTTTACAACAGCACAATTTATGTTTATGATTTATATGTATGTTTTATTTGAGAGATCAACATCATGGCACACAGGTGTAACCCATAAGTGCTCTGTTCTATTTCTAACTCAAGCCTGAGTCTGAAGAATCTTAGCGCAGTGCACAAACTCTGTTGCACCGGCTAGGATCCTGATATACTTAGGGTAGATTCTTAACTCCAAATTTTGCCTGGGCAGTGCCGTTAGGCTACTCTTTTCAATTTCCAACTGCCAAAGATTTTTTACATGAGCAAGAAATTACACCGGTGTCCGATCTTATTACCCAGAGATCAGGAGAAATTACTAGAAGACCACATGAAAAAATCCTAGCCTTTATTGGGGTTTGAACCAGGGACCTTAAGCACTCGAGGTGAACACCATACCTCAGGACCACTAAGCCGACCAAAAGCACAATTAGTTTACGGTCAAGTTGGCCAGAAACCCAAAAAGTAGAAACTTATATCTCCCTTGATATCTGAAGAGGTAAAAGAGAACATAAAGAAAAAGAAATACTATATGTTAATGCAAACTACAGCTACTTCAAATTGTATCTTACTATCACTACCTTTCTCATACTCCCAGGGGTAACAAAACTTACAATTTTTAAACTCATTTATTAAGAAAACAAGTCTTTTCACACTATTGTTGAATCAGGCATACAGTGCTGGACCACCTGACACTTGGTGGCTAATATGATGTACATCATATTCGTAACTACTGGGACCCCATTTCGGTAGCGGAAAAAGACCCACTGTCCCCTCTAAAAAGCATGCCATCAAAGGCAATTATTTAGTAGTTTGTTGAAATCAGAAGAGTTGAGCCAGTGTGTGCAGATATTGTAGCCTAGTTGTAAACCACAACACAGGGTATCAACTGTCTTTTCAAGGGTGAACACAGAAGATGAAAACAGATGACAAAGAAGAAGAAATAGGAGGAGGAGAAGAAGGAGGAGGACAGTACAAAGTCATTTTTCCTTTTATTTTATTTTGATGTGCAATGGTATTTGCTACTTAAAGGCGTTTGCAATGTTAATAAACTAATGGTGGGTGTAACAAGCTACCATTATAGAATTATAACTATTTTGGAAACAAATTTACATTTCTGGAGAAATATTTAGTTTAATATATAGGTACTACGCATGATATATAGAGCCAGTTTTAACATATGGTAGTGAATCCTGGACAATGAATAAACAAGCCAAGCAAATTTCATCAGGTCATAGAGATGTGGTTTTACAGAAGAATGCCTAAAACTCCTTAGACAGTCGAAATGAGTAACACAGATGTTTTGAAGGTTGTCCTGAAGACAACTTATCACAAACATCAGAAGGAGAGTGTCATAATATTTTGGCTATGTTATGAAAGGAAGGAAAATGGAACAATGTTGTGACTACTGGAATGATTTGTGGAAAACAGAGATAAAGACAATGCAAGAAGATTGTTGACATCTTTTTGTCATGGCATGGAATGGTGTCAACACCTTTACCGATACATGCTCTTGAGATCACAGATTATGTAGAGGCATGACACTTACACCAGATGGCAAGGCATTTGATAATGATGATGCCTACAAAGAACTATATTAGTATAATTAAAATGATCAATGCTGTTGAGAAATATTGTCAAGTTAAATATTCTTTCAAGACAAAAATAAACAAATTACACAGACAATAAATAATAAATAAATTAAAATACAAAATACTAAATGTTTATAAATTAACTCTTTGAGTCCCAAGGAACGCATCATATGTTTATAGGTTCCTACCTAGAGGCCCACTGAAAGCAAGATATGCCGATTTTATGTTTCTCTTGACTACCTCTGGGGCCTCTGATGCTAAACCCTCTGGGACTCAAAGAGTTAAAACACAGTTAAACTGAAAGTAATAATAGTGACAAACACGGTAAATGCACAAGAAATAAGTTTAAACAATGGTAAAATGAAAATACCACTCTCATGGCTTTCTGACAATGGTATGAGAATCACATCAAGGAAGAGATTAAGGCATCACCACATATTGCTCCTAAAGACAACCACACTGCAAGCCAATCTTCACTGTGGAGACTGCACACAATTTAAATTTATAAATAATATCAGAAAGTAAACAAAATGAACGAAAATGAATACAGTCAAACATTTTTTTGGGTACCAACTTTGTGCTATCAAGACTAGACATTGACAGTCATAGAAAAGCAAAAATGTAAAATTACAACTCCGAACTGAGATGTATAAGAAATGAGACAGGAAAAACAAGAACATGTAGTGTCACCAGTAAACAACTAAGAACAATAGTAGGCACAGTGCTAGTGAATGATTTCATATAACATCAAAGTATCTAACACAGTACTAGTGAATGATTTCATATAACATCAAAGAATCTAACACAGTACTAGCGAATGATTTCATATAACATCAAAGAATCTAAAAAAGTACCAGTGAATGATTTCATATAACATCAAAGAATCTAACACAGTACCAGTGAATGATTTCATATAACATCAAAGAATCTAACACAGTACCAGTGAATGATTTCATATAACATCAAAGAATCTAACACAGTACCAGTGAATGATTTCATATAACATCAAAGAATCTAACACAGTACCAGTGAATGATATCATATAACATCAAAGAATCTAACACAGTACTAGCGAATGATTTCATATAACATCAAAGAATCTAACACAGTACCAGTGAATGATTTCATATAACATCAAAGAATCTAACACAGTACCAGTGAATGATTTCATATAACATCAAAGAATCTAACACAGTACCAGTGAATGATTTCATATAACATCAAAGAATCTAACACAGTACCAGTGAATGATTTCATATAACATCAAAGAATCTAACACAGTACCAGTGAATGATATTATATAACATCAAAGAATCTAACACAGTACTAGTGAATGATTTCAGATAACATCAAAGAATCTAACACAGTACTAGTGAATGATATCATATAACATCAAAGAATCTAACACAGTACTAGTGGATGATTTCATATAACATCAAAGAAATCTAACACAGTACTAGTGAATGATATCATATAACATCAAAGAATCTAACACAGTACTAGTGAATGATATCATTTAACATCAAAGAATCTAACACAGTACTAGTGAATGATATCATATAACATCAAAGAATCTAACACAGTACTAGTGAATGATATCATATAACATCAAAGAATCTAACACAGTACTAGTGAATGATATCATATAACATCAAAGAATCTAACACAGTACTAGTGAATGATATCATATAACATCAAAGAATCTAACACAGTACTAGTGAATGATATCATATAACATCAAAGTATCTAACACAGTACTAGTGAATGATATCATATAACATCAAAGAATCTAACACAGTACTAGTGAATGATATCATATAACATCAAAGAATCTAACACAGTACTAGTGAATGATATCATATAACATCAAAGAATCTAACACAGTACTAGTGAATGATATCATATAACATCAAAGAATCTAACACAGAACTAGTGAATGATATCATATAACATCAAAGAATCTTACACAGTACTAGTGAATGATATCATATAACATCAAAGAATCTAACACAGTACTAGTGAATGATTTCATATAACATCAAAGAATCTAACACAGTACTAGTGAATGATATCATATAACATCAAAGAATCTAACACAGTACTAGTGAATGATATCATATAACATCAAAGAATCTAACACAGTACTAGTGAATGATATCATATAACATCAAAGAATCTAACACAGTACTAGTGAATGATATCATATAACGTCAAAGAATCTAACACAGTACTAGTGAATGATATAAAACATCAAAGAATCTAACACAGTACTAGTGAATGATATCATATAACATCAAAGAATCTAACACAGTACTAGTGAATGATATCATATAACAGAAACAGAAACAGAGCAAAGAATCTAACACAGTACTAGTGAATGATATCATATGACATCAAAGAATCTAACACAGTACTAGTGAATGATATCATATAACATCAAAGAATCTAACACAGTACTAGTGAATGATATCATATGACATCAAAGAATCTAACACAGTACTAGTGAATGATATCATATAACATCAAAGAATCTAACAGTTTAACTGTCTGGTCAGAATCGAATAAAATCAGCTAGCAGCTAGAGCGTACTACATGAGAATAGCAGCAACAAAGCAAGATGCTGACCAAGAAAGAGATGGGTGGAGAGAGTAAGTGACACTACAGAAACACAAAATGATGTTAATACAAGCTAAACAACTAAAAAAAAAATGGAAACTACATAAAATAACTTTCTGTGACACTTTGGGACAAAAGCAGTAGGACAAAAGAAGAAGAAAAACAGCTCAATTTTATCATTTGTATCATCAACCAAACAGTGTACAGATGGCAGCTTACCAATACATCCAGTGCCAGTTGGGTTGCTCTCAAAGTTGGGTGGACACTGGCAAATATAGGTGCCTTGTTGATTAACACAAGTTCCATACTGGCAGTTGTCAGCATTCTCACATTCATCAATATCTGCATTAAAAAATTAGAACAGATATGCAGCATTCTATCATCATCATCAATTTCCACTTGTGCCGTTAAGCTCCGTAGGGAGGAACAGTTTGTGATCTATTGTTTGATGGGCAGCAATGGCTATTGTCATTCTATGTAGATGTAGAAGCTCAATAATGCCATCAATCCATCTTCTTCTAGGGTGGCCTCTTGATTTCACTTGAGATCTTCTTTGTGTAGCGCCTGCATTGGTAGTTGTTTTGGCTGCATTCTTACTACATTCTTACTACATTACAAAACCATTTGATGTTCTGTTTCTCAATGTATTTGCTGCCTGGTGCTGTTCCTACAGTCTTTCTGATAGTATCATTTATAATTTTGTCTCAAATAGTTAAGTTGGTGACTCTTCTCAGGCATCTCATGTCATCATCCCATTGTATCAACACAAGAGATAAAGTTTTTTTTTCTCTTAACATATCATGTGTATGGAAATTAATCATGGATAGTACTACAGTAAGAAGCTCATCAGGTGGAAATGGTACAACTCACATTTCCAGGCCCAGGCTCCACCCACTAGCACACTAGGTAACTGTTCATTTATACTTTGTTAGGCTCTTCAACTTTGCTAAAGGTTACAGGGGTTTCCCGGTGTACTGTTTTGTTTGAAAAGCTGTCTCTTCACCAACCAGTGATATCGCGTTTTGTATTTTCCAGGATGTCAGCGCTTTTAACGGTCCTAAAACATGCAGAACTGGCCCTAACACAAACCACCCAGGAGAGTGCAGCAGTCTACGTCCCACGCATTCTTTTTTTCGGAATGAAAACGTAAACAGAAGATAACGCAGAAAGTTTTTCGAGCAAACAGTAAATCTGAACACTCCTGTAACCTTGAGCAAAGTTCATAAGCCTGACCAAGCACCAATAAAAAGTGACCTAGTTTGTAAATGGGCGGAGCCTGGGCCCAAGTTTGTGAGTTGTACCGTGACAATTATTTCGAAGGGGAAATAAACAGTTGAAATTTTAATCAGGCTGCAACTGGCACTGTCAGCATGGGACTTCTTCGTTGGCTACAGGAAAAAAGGCCAGAGCATGTATGGGAATGTCCCAGTGTGCAGTGAAGTCCATTCATTCATTCATTCATTCATTCATTCATTCATTCATTCATACAGTTATGTGGAAGCTACCAAGATGTGGTTTTATTGAAGAATGTTGAGAACACCAAGAATAGATAAAAAGTGTAAGGAAGATTTTTTTAAAGAAATGAACAGACGAATGATGACTAGTTACCCACATCAGAAAAGAGTTAATTTTGGGCATGTCCTGAAAAAAAAAAAACTTAAGTATGTTGGTCATGACAACAAAAATTTGGAAAGATGTGATGAAACTAAGCGAGAGAAGATTCTAGAAAGTTGGGCATCATCACATGGAGTGAACTTTGCATTAACAAAATGAATCACGGTACAAGTGACTACAGGAAGGGGATAAGTGTGATTATGTGATTATTTATGATACTGCATTGATAATATACTATAGAATATTCAGTTTTTTCAAAATTTAAAATATAGTGCAGTGAATGTGACAATAGAAGAATAGAGAAAATCTGCCAAGCCTAGTCCTCCATTTTAGGTTGGAAGACAATATGTACCCTATAGAAACTGATCCCTTATACTTGATGATCATGAAACCATTTAACACATTTACTAAACTCTAGGCCACATAAAAATCAACAAGCAAGAAAACCAGGCAGCCAATTATCAAGAACATGAATACAAAACTCACCAGTACAGTTGCCACCAGTAGAATCCAGTTTGTATCCTTGGTTACAGTTACATCTGAACATGCCAAATATGTTCTCACATTTTCCATTCACACATAAGTTGCGGAACATAGAACACTCATCAATGTCTGTGAATGAGAACATAGAACACTCATCAATGTCTGTAATTAGCAAAGACAGTGAACAAATAAAACAAATAGTGTCAAGATCAACAGCTATCATGCACATAAAAATGCTGCATTTCTTTCAGAATGTGAAAAACTGAAACTGCATGCTTTCAGATACTTTGTAATCAGTTGAGCTGAATTATGACCCAACATCACAGCACTCAAGGAAAACAAGAATAGACCCACTGCCTACCCAACAAGCATGTCTTTGGAATTGACTAATTGGGGGTTTCTTTCGAAGTCGGAGTGCATCTGCCTGAAAGGCAATGAACCAATAGTCTGGACACAAATAAGACTGTAAAACAGATGTGCAGCACAGGTAAAAAAACAATAAGACTTTGAGTCATATGAAGATGAGAAAAAAGGGAACAATTTTATCTTAGAACTATTAGTCTAGACTGCAGAAATAAAGCCTGAGCTGGGTTACATCTGAAAACTGATATATTCTTACCAACACAAGCTCGTTCATCTTCTGTAGGTGCAAAACCCATATCACATTCACATCTGTATCCTCCGTTATAATTTATGCAGTGACCATTCTCACACAGTCCAGGATCAAGAAGGCATTCATCAACATCTGTCAGAAGAAAAATAAAATAAGATCATTAACTCTATTTTCTCATCAATAAACATTGTGTGAAGGTTAACCTTTATGTGAACTAATCACTGTTTCTGTGTTGTGAGGGAAGAGAAAAGCCTAGGGGTTTGTAGCGAAAGCCAGTGGAAAATCTTTAGTGCAAGACATCCTCGGATATGATACCACAATATCTCATCGTGAGAATGGAGGTAGAGGTAGTCATTACAGCTTTCTGGTGGCTAGAGAGCAAGATGCACACATATGTAGTAATTGTAACAGACTATGAAATTATGCTGAGAAAGGTAAAGACAGGGTTGCTTTGAGCAGAGTGGCAAGCCTAACTTGGAAGGTCATGGGTAGTAAGCATACTTTTGATCTTTTCTCCAGGCAATACTAGCATGGTGGGTAAAGAACAGGCAGACAGATTTGCTGGATCTGCACCATTGGGTGGTAAATTGATACACGAGAAGGCAGATCAGGGCCCTATGGGATCAACTAATGAAGTCATAAGTGAAACTGGATTATTATGCCCTGGAGAGAATAATGCACCTGGGTGTGACCAGAAGGTCTGGCTTTCTCACTACACTCAAAGGAAAGGCAAGACGGACATATAACCAGTCTACAACTGGCACCATTAGTATTGAAACTCTGACTGCTGAAGATGGGGATGGAGCACATATAGGAATGCCCCAAGTGCTATGATGTCAATTCTTGACTTAACTCATGCACAGTTGTACTAGTTAATTTCAGAGAAGGAAATTAGGTAACTGCACCTCCTTTCTTTACTACAGGTCGCAAACCAATACCAGGATTTGTTGACTGTTTATTGCTTTAGCAAGCAATTTTACTTTTAGTATTTTCTCATTATTATTATATTTGAACAGTCGGTTCTTGGTACCATTGTCAAAATCAGTGCAAGGGAATCTGCTGCCAGACTGCCCATAGATGGAAACAAGCCTGGTAATTTGTCCTCACAAACCTGTTTGCAACCCTCAAGCTGCAGATGCTTACTGTTAAAGTATACTAAACAAATTTGATATTGTATCTGTTCGTTTACAATTTGTCTCATCTGGTTTAGCTGAAAGTGAATTGTAATTGATTGTTGAATGTTGAACTAGGAATCAACATCAAAACACTTGGGACACTCTAATAAACGCTCCGTCCCCATCTTTAGCAGCAAGCAAAGAGTTCCAATTTGAATGGTATCAATAACTGTCTTATTGTATATCTGTCTCACCCTTTCCCTGAGTGCTGAGCTTTGGCCAGTTCCCTGGTAACTCTCTGCAGTGCCATTCTCTTCAGACCATAAAAAAATTGTAAAAAAATTGGAATTGTCAAAAGCAGCTCCTATGACGTACTGGGGTTTAAAGGGCTAACTAATAATATTGTTATGACTTGAAAATTTACACCCACCAGTCATAGCTTTTGAAAGCTGAACAAAGTAAAAATGCTTGCTCACATTATCCAAAAAAATTTGAGTATAAGGCTCTAGCTTCAAAGAGCCATAGTGGCACAGTGGTTAGTGTATTAACCCATCAAGACAGTGGTCTAAATTCAATCCCCAAAATTTGTAAGGTGTTTTTCGGAAAAGTAGGCCATGGGATCTGTCCAGCTTTATAAGACAATTTTCCAAATGTTGCAGGAATAAGAGATAGAATGAAAACTGGTCACTCCACCATGTAAGTTATGACCTAGAATATGCAGAGGTCTAACAGTTCACATACCGACAGTATTTTCTATGGAACTACCTTAATTAAAAAACAAAACACTTTTACTAAGAAATATTAAATAGGCTGATTTGGCAATACAGTTACCAAACAGATTAGCAGTACAATGCATATAGTAAAAAAATCAGCTAATAAAGAAGACTACCCATAGGGGTTTTAATAATAATTATAATATTTAACTCATTGGGTTCAAAACAACTCACTATGCATTTACCGGGTCCGATTTTTATTTTATATTTTTTTTTTAAAGTTCCTCTTGTCACATTCATCCAATTGTTACACTAGCCTTTCTAGTTCAACTTCTCTCTCACAGTACACAAGAATGAACTTTTTTTTTTAAAAAGGTTTAATCTGGACTTTCATGCCCAGCTTACATTCTGCACTTTTGGCCCCACTCCTTACATCTATTACTCCGTTCATACATCAGTTAGCTTAAAAAATATGCATCATCAACATCTAATTCTTTGTCACAACAGATGGGATATTCTCTAATTTTATCTAAATTTCCAAACAATAATAATACTCAGTACAGCAGGTGTTTTTAATCCAGGTGTAAAACACAAAATGTTTAAAATTATTATCTTTTAAGGGACATATAGTGTGTGCTGAGATAATATTCAATTTTTTTTCAATTTGTATGTATAGGGGTTATATTTTAAGTTATTCTGACCCAAACATGTACTACTAAAAGTAAAAACTTTGTAGGATAGAAAAGGCTAAATTATATAGTCTAGTAATAAAAGAGTTAATTTATGGAACATTTATGTTCAGAAGACCACAGACTACCTACCCTGGCAAGTGTAACCATACCATATACTAATTACCTTGGCAAGTAAATCCATCTCCACTGTAGCCTTCATCACAAATACATCGAAAACTTCCAGGTGTGTTCACACAAGCTGCATCACGGTGACATCCTCCATTATCCCTCACACACTCATTGATATCTGGCCATATATATTATTTATTTTTAAAATACATAAATTAATATAAGAAAGAAAGTGAATAACCAGCGGGAAAACTACATGTACTGTATTATTTTAAACAGAGGGACACAATCTTCTTCTTCTTCTTCTACTTCTCTTCCACCTTTAACCTCATCAAAGTGTTGGGTGAGATGTTATGTTCGTTGATGAGCTCTGTCAAGAGCACTATTAAGACTGATGTTTTTTTCTGTAAGGCTGTTCTTAATGCCATCACTCCATATTTTCTGAGGTCTTCCACTCGCTCTAAACCCATTGTAACGTTTGAGTGGGGCTCGCTGTGGCAGATAATACCAGGGCATTCTTGTTAGGTGTCCAAACCACTTCATTTGTTGTTCTTTGATGACCTGTAAAACTGGCTTTATTCCTAGCATATGTCTGATTTCATGATATCGTATTCTGTTTTTCCTTGAAACTCCTGGAGCTCTTCTAAGGCATTTCATCTCTGTTGTCACAATTTTACGCTCATTGCAGGATGTAAGTGTCCACGTTTAGCATTGATAGCATACCATTGGCCAAAAAATAGTTCTGATAAGATTAACTTTAGTACTCCGAGGTATCTGCTTATGTGTCAACAGGGGAGATAGTTGACCCATTACTTGATTAGCTTTGGCACATCTGGAGCTAATTTCTCTGTCCAGTTTTCCGTCAGATGTAAAAACTGCTCAGCGGGACACAATCATGACCATTAAAATGTCATGCTACACATAAAAAATGAATTATTATAAAATTAAAAATTTTTCTCTTATTAGTATGGTGTGTAATTGTATGAAAGCTTATGTCCTTCAGCCTCTCTTTTTTTCTAATCTTTTTAACTAATTATTATTATTTTCTCTCTTCTTTCTGTCTCTCATTTGTTTCTTTTCCTTACTCTCTCTATCTCTATCTTTCTCGCTCAGTCCTAATTATTCACACAATGCATATAACAGAGTAATACATTGCATGTATTACTATCTACATCAAGCATGTCAAATTGAGGAATTCCTGAGGGTCACATGGGTAACATGTATGTTGTGATGAAGATCACATGACAACTAACTGAAGTCATTCAATAATTTTTGTTTTAATTAAAAAAAATTCCAGGCCGCTTGTTTCACATGCTTGACCGTGTAGGCCTGTGTAATGTGAAGAAAATTTCACATTTGATAATTGTGAACTCTGTTTTTAGAAAACTGAAAAATCACTGCTTACCTCTACATGTGAAACCATCTCCTGTGTAGCCGGGCTTACAGTCGCACTTGAAGGATCCCTGAGTATTTATACACACAGCACTTTCATCACAACCTGATGCTCCAGTTTCACATTCATTGTCATCTGTGGCAATTCAAACTAATATTGTAATACTGATTCACACAATTATTAATATGGATAGCAGAGGAAATTAAAATGATAATTTGTTCCTTAATTGTTTAGAACCAAGATGCTGAGAAGTATACCGTTCACACAAAAAAAACAACAAAAAAAAAAAACTGCATAGTTACTGAAAGAAACATACATTCTCACAATTTTGACATTCTCCATGTTTGTACCACAAAAAGTGAAATTTCACTTAAGAATAGCTTAGGGTTCCACCCATCAATTAACATATTTTTTTTGCATCTGGCTCACAACAGTTTTAAGCGTACAGCCTTTCCCGTTAGAATAGTGTGTGGCCTCCTCTTGTGTGGATCAGTGACAACACCTCCTGGGCATGGATACAATCTGATGTGGGCCTGTGGGATGGATGCCTACTCTTCCTGGAGTGCCTGGAGCAGATCACGACCATTGGCTGGGGCAACATTTTGGTGACAAACATGTCTTTGCAGCTCATCCCCCAGGTGCAAAATTGAACTCAAGTCTGCAGACAGAGATGGACAGGGAAAGGTTTGAATGTTACTGGCATCCAGGAACCGCGTGGTCAACAGTGCAGAATGGGGTCTGGCTTTGACGTATCATTGCACATTCAAGCTTCCTTCCATGTGCACCAATTGGCTCCTGCCATTGTAACTTATCATTCCCCACACCATTACACCTCCACAACCATGCAGCTGAGCTTCATCAACACAGTTTTGGGCTAAACCTTCATTTCACTTATGGTAGACAATCCACAAAGCCAGCGTAGCTGAGGAAGCTGTTGTAAACCTGTCTCTGAGGTGATGGAGCCGAATTAAATCAATTCTATGCTGCTGTTTTCGTTTACTGTGATGTCGGTCTTCAATTGAACCAGTGGCTTGAAACCGGTGCCTAAGTCGACTGCGGGTACTCTGATGCATGTTTAGATGCCTGCAACCTGTGACTTTCTCCTGCCTGAAAATTGGCCAATAGGCAAGATTCCTTACATTTATCGACAAAGACACCACTCGTGACTGCTCAAACATGAACTGAGTGTTTTGGTGTAGCATTATCCTTTTATAGGGTTTCAGCTGCATAGGCTGTGAATAGTGTTCACCCCCAATTGTGTTGCTTTCTCATGCCTGCATCACGATGCTCACAAATATGGCTCAAACACAACTGGCCACTGCGTTGTAACGATTATAAAAACCCACGCAATTCACATCCACATGTCCACTGGAAATGGTAAACACTATTTGAGACTGCTTTTCACAAACCTGAGTACGATATTTTATTTACAAACTTATAAAAATGCAGTTTTTTTTAAAACAATATTTGAGAATGACGAAAAAGAAGAAAAATAAAAAAGGAGAAGAAGGAGGAGATGAAGAAGAAGTGGAGAGAAGGGAGGAAAGGAGAGGGAAAATAAGAACTGGGAGAAGGAGGATATTATCTTTTAATCTCAGAGACAATTTGCAGTGAAACTGACACTTCTCTTTCAATCTAAGCAACCACTCAACAAGATCAATTTAATAAATTTGGCCACACTGTACAAATAAATCTTGCATCCCCAATTTATCATTTTGCACTATATAGTTAGTATTTTCAAAGGTACTATATTGATTAATCCAAGAGGGATGATGAAACAAGAGACATATCTAGGCAACCACTGGTAATTATAGTTATAGGACAGAGAAGATGGCGCAATACTGGACACATCCTGAGAAGGAGAAAGCAGAAAATAACCAAACAGGCTCTAAAATGGAAAAAAAAAAGGGAGTGAGGATGGACGTTCTAAAGAATAAGAACCCTAAAATGAGCATTGAGGACAGAGGCCAAAGGTGCTTCGCTAGATAAGATGTATAATACTGAAACAATTTCACAAGACAGAGGGGAATTAGGTGTAGACTGGCTCAATAGGACAATTATCATGACTGATAAATATATAATATTAAAAAACAAAAGCCAATAACTTTTTATAGGTAAGCATACTTTTGGCACAGTTTAGAAAAACTGGAAAAATTATTGACCAATTCCAAGTTTATTACTTGGAAGTGAGATTTTGAAATTTACAGTGTTATGTAAAGTTGCGTTACAAAAAGCAAAAAAAAAAGATACATTGTAGAACTAACAATTTATTACGAATTTTGTTGCACTGTTGTAGAGACCTACAATTTAATTATTTGACATTAAAACATTTATTTTAAGTGCTTTAGAGTACACATAATTGTTGCATTATGAAAAAATGCATTCTCTATTTTTTTTTTGTTTAAAGCAAAATATTGTTCCCTTATTTACTTTACAACCCTCCAGATACTAAAACAATACCAGGATTTTGCTAGTGTACCTGTGCATCCAGTAGCTCTGATTTGGGTTTTCACAGAGTAGCCAACATCACATTTGCAGACAAAAGAACCATGTGTGTTCTGACAAATACCATTCAAGCACAAGTTTTTGTTCAAGAGACACTCATCAACATCTGAAACATAAAAAGGTCGTTTTCCAGTAACCAATATAATATTATAATATATAAATATGCAGACATATTACCTCTAGACCCGTTCCAGAGACTTCTCACTGTTGTGATGCTGTGAGGCATACAAGGAGGAGAGAAAAGAAGAAGAAGGTTAATTTTTGACAGATTGTAGGACAGTAAAATGACACATCATGACCTAACAAGGTCAGGTATCACTTCTTATTTTTTTTTTTTATGTCAGCCTCGGAACTTTATAGTTCTGGAATCCTTTCATGTAATTACCAAGAATTGAAAGTGAGACTACTAATTTGATTTTTGTGCCCTAGGATTTTGATATCTCCTGGACTCAGACTTCAACAGCCACTGACATTTTGCTAGCTTTGTAATGTTGATATTTCAGTAAAACTGCCCAATTCCATCATTTGTTTAGTTTGTGTTTTGATACTTACAGACAAGTAAACATAATACAGTCGAGTATACTTAAGTCGAACTCAGGTAAGTCGAATTTCGGTTAAGTCGACATGACCAGTTTAGTCCTGGCAATTTTCTCTATTGTGTGTGCTGTCTGGATAAGTAGAAATCCTGATGTTGAAGCAATTTTTTTAGGTCCCTGGGACTTCTACTTATCCAAATTTGACTGTTCTTAATAAACTAACACTGCGCTGACAATAAATTTTGCTACCAGGCATATGCACATGTAAGTTATATTATATGCACTGAGTACTTGAGAGAGTAAAAGGCTTTCAGAATGTACAGAAAATTTCATTAGTACCAGGAAATGTTCTGAAAAGTAGGCCCACAGCACAAAATAACTGCTGGCCTCTGATTTGTCTAGAAAAATATGTGTCTAGAACCAATGCGTCATTAATTTTGACACATGCAACAACAAAAAAAATGAATTTTTTCGTTGCAGTTTCCAGCAAAATATGGATAACTCTGAAAGACTGATGTAGTGAAAAATTGTTATTTAGACATAAATAAGGAATTCCATGGAATTTAAGTAATGTGTAGATTTAACATTTGTAGATTACAGTCAGTAAATAACTGTATCTTGCCCAATTAGGGGTGTGCCATGCTATGATAGAGAGATGTGGCTGCATTAGGCAGCACCGTAATAATAATACAATTTGAACTTGTGATTTAAAGATTCAAAGAGTTAGAGTTGAGAGGACTGACTTCATTGCACTGGGTTTTATCCCATATGGCTTGGTCTCTCACTGCAGAACGGCCAGCCACTTGCCGATAGCATTACACAGAGCATGAACTCTGTAGCTCCCACAATGATCCCCAGGGATCTCTGTAAAATTGCACTTGTGAACTGGATGAAGCAGATGTGAAATGAACCCATGACCTTCAGGGCACGAGGTAAATGGCTTGACAATCTTGCAACAGATTTTTTGATTTGACAGCATGAAGCTATTAGGGGCATCATTTTGAAGACTTACATCATACTGAGAAAGTCTACCACACATGACTGTGCCTAATGATACGTTTCTTTAAACGGTAGGCACCTCACAGACAATCATTCCCATTGTCATCTTTAGAGAAAACATTAGACCTTCTTCCTGTTCTCCTGCCTCATGTATTTTCGTATTCAAAGGGTATTTGATGTCTATGCCTATCTTTATTTCTTGTTGACCACTGGTTCTCATTTGAGAAACCATGAACTATATTACTTCTCCTTCTTCTTCTTCAGCATTCCGAGCCCTTGAGGTTCATTGCTGCAGATATCACCCGCCTCCATTCATCTCTCTGGTTGGCCTTCTCTTTCCAGTTGATGACACCAAGTGTTTGCAGGTCTGTCTGGATATTATCTCTCCATCGTCTTCTTAGTTTGCCTCGTGGTCTATGACCATTCACCTCCCTCGAGTATACAGTTTTTACTTCTCGGTCACTGTCATTCTTTCAATATGCCCTAACCATTTTAGACTATTAGCTCTCATGCCAGTGATCAGTGGTGATTTAAGCATATTATGAATTTCGTTGTTACTTCTCACTCTCCATTCACCCATGTTTGCATCTTTGATAGGTCCAAAGATTCATCAAAACCTGCAATAAGGCTTCATCTCTTTTAGATGTGCTCAAAGTTTCAGAGCTATATAAAATGACTGGTCTTATCAACATTTGAATTTTGATATATTTTGATCTTAGCGTTGTGAGACAGACACTTTGTCTTTAGCAGATGTTAAAGGGGATAGTATATTTCCAGATTGTATTCTAGATTGTATTTCTTCTCTCAACATGTTGGAGCAGTTGTAGTTTGCACCCAAGAAATTATATGCTTCTGTTCGTTTGATTTTCATATTATTTACAGAATTATACTACTGCTCTATCGAAATTTCTGTGATTTTCAATATGGCAGAAATATTTTAGTTTCTGAAACATGATGTTATTTATGAACTAGTTATCTTCCAATGCTAAAATCAAGAAGAATGTATAAATTCTCTAACTCACTGATCAACATTATTTTGATATTTTAACAAAGAAGTCACAAGCAACAGATTTCATAATTTATTGCCTGGTATATTGCACTGGGTCTCATCAAGTGCATACTACAGAAACAATTTAATGATATAAAGCAATTGAAAAAAAAAATATGAATACTAAAACTTAAATACAAAATCTACCAAAATAATAAAAACATTTTTTAAAAATCTGAAACAAACAACAAGCATATCCAGGTTGGCTAACATGGGCAACAAATACCTGCAGAAGTCAGATGTGTTGGTCAAAATGCACAAATATCGCAGCCATGTTGTAAATGGGCACAACACATTTACGTCTTTGGATAATGCAGAAGAAGACAATAAGCGTATTCAACATATTCTAAAGATAACTGAATACTTATTTTTCTCTAGCACACTTAAAAGTAACAATTTCACTTTGTTTTGCATGTAAAGGTAATTTGTATTGAATAATATATTGACGGAGATGTATTCAGAATGTGTACCGACAGCCAATGTTGCTTTTCTAGTGCATAAATAAAATATAATTATTTATATGATTTTTTTTTAGGAATCATAATGTTTAAAATGTAAATAAACTCTTATTTAGATAGCACTTTTAAAGTGTAACATTATTTACTCAAAGAAAGGAAAAGAATCATCAGATCAAGCTGAAAGAATAGATCAAAAAGTAGTCAGTCAGTCTCTTAAAATACTATAAAGCACTAATTAAATGACAGTGCAACATGTCGCAATGAAATTGATCATTTATCTTTTTAACATTGTTGAAAAAAAGGAAAGTACCAAGACGGCCCAGAGTGACAATAATAAGCGGTTACTGCAGAAAAACCAAGGTGAGACCATAAACAAGCTGCACAATGTACCTCTGAAAGTAAAATGTAGAGACATAGAGGACATCGTTGATCTCTACATGCCAGGCTAAAAGTAAAAAAATAATAAATATCAATTTAGCAAAACAATTTTAATAATTAAAATGTATTTTTCAAGCTTATCGTGAGCACCGATATAAACAGATAAACTTCTTCAAATACACATGAAAACTCACCAAGGCATTTCTTTTGGTCTGGAGAAGAAGTAAGTCCACCGGAGCATGTGCACCTGTAGGAACCTGGAATGTTGTCACACCGTCCACCATCACATATATTGCCCTGTTCTTTGCACTCGTCAACATCTGCATAAAAATTAATCACATAGATTCTGTTTTATCACTGACAAAAAGTCCACTCTTTTAGTCATTTCAAATTTAATATTATGATTACTTCATCGCTGCTCTGACAATAAGGGGTGACTCCTAAACATTTACGCACCTTTTCTCAATCGTTCTGGCTGTTTTTTTGGGGTTTTTTTTGGGAACTAACAAATTTCTTCATCGCATTGATTGTGCATGCAAATTACTCTTGTTGATTTTTAAATTGTTGGATTTTTTCTGTACTCCCCCTCAGGACTGCACGTTGAATATTTGACATCCAATGATTCAAAGAGCAACTTTTTAGATGCTATTCCAACAGGAACTAATCTAAGACACCCTGTTCAACATTATAAAGCAGTGAAGGCACTAGATGGTTACAACAAGTAACCTGTGTGGGTGGGGTGCATGAGTGTGTGTGTATGTGTGTATGTGTAGTCGGGGGTATTTGTTATATGTCTAACATTTAAAGTCCAAAGAGTCATAATGTGTGCTTTTCCCTGTCAATCCCAAGCACTAAATATGTTGTACTCATCGCAAATTTAGTCAGACTCCACTAAAGAAATCTAGCTTCACCATTTACCACTATCATGAATGTTTAAGGCAAGGGTTCATCCTCTCTGAAATGTATGCATTTATGATTTGTCAAAATTGTTTTCCCCATCTATTGGAATCTGCTGTGAAACACAGGGGCGGAAAGAGCTGAGGTGAAAAAGTACTTGGGGATCTGTTAATGATCACTCTTATTAAAGCAGTCAAGATATCCCACAAGCCAGAACATAAGCTTAAGTGTGGCCCTAATCGACATCAAAGGTTCTTATTAAATTCATTGTCCTATTCTGGAAATGAATACGGTAACTTCTGATTTAGATGTTACATTCTTTTAAAAACCATACTGGAACAAAATGTTGAAAGCAAAAAAATAAAATAAAAAGTTAGACCAGTAAATGCAAGATACACAGATTATACATTTCTCTGTATAACCACTTGGGCCTCTGATGCTAAACTGAATTAGAGTTAACTGAACCTGCCTCAGTTTTTGCTTTTTATCCTTCTTTCTCATGGTTTTATTATTTTTTTGCTTTAGATTTAAACATTTATTAGTTAAAATAATAAATTCTTAGAATAGAATGTGATTAAGTAGCATCTAGCCTGAGACTCAAAGAGTTGAATAATATGTTTCTATCATAGACTGCTGGTGAAAATTAAAGCTTGAGTTCATGGGATCAATTTCATTGCACCAAGTTTTATTCCATGTGGCTCAGTCTCTCTCCACAGAATGGTTAGCTGTCTTCTGAGAATGCCACACAAAGCATGAACTAGCTCCAGTGACACTGACCAGGGATCTCTGTAAAAAACTGCACTTGTGAACTAAATAGCACCTATATGAAACAAACCCACAACCCTCAGAGTGTTAGTTCTGGTGAGTCTCTAATTATGTTTTCCTTGGTACCCATTTTCTTTGTCTTCTAGAACTCATTTGGTGTTTCTTCCTGTTTTAGAATGAGGTGAATTAAATTTACTTTAACAAGTCTTCTTTGATCTAGCATAGTGTTCATTGTCTGTTTTTAGTTCAGCTAGTTCTTGCCAGTCTTTACATAGTGAATACTGCCATATGCTTATTTTATAATAAATCTCCATGATTAATTTTTCTTCTTCTTCTTCTTCTTCTTCCCTTCCACCTTTTACCTCATCGAAGTGTCGGGGGGAGATGTAATGTTCATTGATGAGCTCTGTCAAGAGCACTATTAAGACTGATGTTCATTTCTGTAAGGCTGTTCTTAATGCCATCACTCCATCTATTCCGAGGTCTTCCACTCGCTCTAAACCCGTTGTAACGTTTTAGTGTGGCTCGCTGTGGCAGATAGTACCAGGGCATTCTTGTTAGGTGTCCAAACCACTTCATTTGTTGTTCCTGTTTAATGACCTGTAAGACTGGCTTTATTTCTAGCATTCGTCTGATTTCATGATTTTGTATTCTGTCTTTCCTTGAAACTCCTGAAGCTCCACGTTTGGCATTGATAGCATAGTGTTAGCCAAAAAATAGTTCTGATAAGATTCACTTTAGTACTTCGAGGTATCTGCTTGTGTGTCAACAGGGGAGATAGTTGACCCATTACTTGATTAGCTTTGGCACATCTGGAGCTAATTTCTCTGTCCAGTTTTCCGTCGGATGTGAAAATTGCTCCCAAATACTTAAATTCCTTTGTTTGTCTCAGGGTGTTGTTTTTTTAATTTTATTTCTAAATTGTTTTTATGTCTTCCTATCATCATTGTCTCTGTCTTCGTAGTGTTTATTTTCAAATTATATTCCTCCCCTTTGTTACTAATTTGATTTAGGTGGTTCTGTAAGCATTACGTATTTTCTGCTATGAGTACCTGGTCGTCGGCGAAGTGTAATTCTGTAATATCTTCTTCATGATTAAAGTTCGTTTCGCTACATATGGTATCCATGTATGTTATAAAAAGAAGTGGCGATAGTACACAGCCCTGACGCACACCAGAGTTCACTATAAAAGTTTTTGACAACCCTGCCTTCGATCTGATGCAGCATTTACTACGTGTGTACAGGCTTTTGCAAATATTAATGAGATGATTGCTGATTCCTTTTTTTCCTATACATTCCTACAACATATTCCTGTCAACTCTATTGAAGGCTTTTTCTTGGTCTATGAATGTCAATAAACATGTCTTATCATGTTCTATTGCCCTCTCTGATAGTTGTCTCAATGTATAAATGGCATCTGTGCAACTTCTGTTTTGTCGAAAGCCCCTCTGTGGTTCTGAAAGTTGATACTCTATCAATGGTCTCAGCCTTTTTTTGATGATCTTAGCATACATTTTCCCAGTGTGACTGAGAAGTGATATTCCTCTGTAATTAGTACATTCCCTCTTACTTCCTTTTTTTTTTTTCAAAGGCGGGACGATGACAGCAGTCTGCCAATCTGATGGTGTTTCTTGATTTTCCCATGCCACCTGAAATATTCTCTTTAACCATATTGCTCCCGTTTCTCCTGCTGCCTTGATAGCTGGTAGATCATCAATACCTGTCGCCTTTAGTAGACTAAAGTGGTTCGAATGACAAATATTACTTCATCCAATAATATACCTGGTTCTAGTTCCTCTGCCATTAATTCCGAGTTGTTTTTATGCTCTTCCCTGCTTTTATCTGTTTTATTGCAGATAAGTAATGCTTCAAAGTAATTACTCCATCTTGCTAAAATTTTGGTAGGTTCTATTAAAGGTTGGAAACTTCATTATTTATAATTTCTGTTGGGTTGTATTCTTCATTCCTGTTTCTCATGCCTTTGATTTTTTTGTAATAGTTTTTCACTGCTTTTCTTTCTTTTTCAGCCAGCTTGCTTCCAAACTTTTCCCATGAATCTCTTTTTGCTTTTCTGATAGTTCTATTTACTTCTCTTCTAACTATCCTGTATGTTATGTAATCCTTTTCTGTTCTGCTCCTCAGCCAAATGCCATAAGCTTTCTTTTTATTGCTCACAATTCTTCTTATTTCTTCAGACCACCATATATAATAAACACACACACACATATACATGTATATTATAGGTATTCCTTCAATTACTATAATGAACTAATTATATTGATTAAAGCCGTAAAATCTTGATTGAAAGATGGTGTCAAGTGATGACTGTTAATTTCTCCTAGATCAACATGGTCTGAGGAGAATGGCGCTGCAAGTAGTGATCAGGGAATTTGGCAGACACTCAGCACTCAAGTAAAGGGTGAGATGGATACACAATAAGACTGTTATTGGTTCCATTAGACCTGGAACACTTCACTTGCTGCTGAAGATGCCCTTGTAAGAATGTCCTGAGTGCTGTGATGTTAATTCCTAATTAAAAATTCAGCATTTGTAATTTCTCCTTTTTATAAAAAATTGTTAATACTTCTATATTATTTTACCCTCTAATGTTCAACAAAAAGTTAGACCTGTCATAAATTAAAACAAAATAGTATGTGTTTCATGAAATCATGATTGCGATATTTGTTCACAGTCAGCTGAGCCACAGAGACCCCCTGATGAAGACCCCAATTAAAAACTTGATGGAAAATTGTCAACACAATAGTGGTTATGGATTAAACATACCTACACAAGAACGGCCATCTGTTAGAAGTAGATATCCACTTCCACAGCTGCACAGGAAACTACCAGGTGTGTTCACACAAACAGTCTGGCAGCCTCCATTCCTGTCCTGACATTCGTCATTATCTGAAGAAGTAACACAATATATTTCACACATGAGAAGTTCTTTTTCCCTTAGAAAGATCAGATAAACATCATTATTCTTCTTCTTCTATATATAGTCCAAGCTGTGTCAGTATCATCATCATCTCGTAACACTACGTGTCGTTTGGTCACCAGTTTCTGTTGACTGTCTGATCAGCTCTCTCCACCTTTGGCAGTCAGTTGCAATGGACTTCATGGTTGCATGCCTGAGGCCTGTCCAGTCAGTCAGGTTCTGTAACCAGGTCTTTTTTGGTCTGCCTCTTCACCTTTTTCCTTTACTGAGCCCTGCATTATTTTTTTTTGAGAGGCTGTTAGATCTTATTACATTGCATTTTTCACTTTTTCACTGTAGCTGAAAGAGGTTCACAGTTGCTTAGCAGTGTAAAATTTGTTAATTATGACTATCTAGTCTTCTGTCTCGTGTACTATCAATTACTTCTGATGTAGTTTATTTTTCATCTCATGCTATAAAATTGTCCATCGTCTAATCTCTTGGTCTCAAACAGCCACTCTTTCTCATAAAATTTCCTGTTTTCATGACAAATGTCACTTTTCACCTTTCTCACGACATTCTCAAAAAATGTGGAATTCATTTTTCTCATGCTGTTTAATCTAAAATGCTCAAAACATCAAATATTAAAGTTGTAATTTACAAACAACATATTTACAAGTGAAAAACTAATACAACTTTATTTTATTACTCACTGATAAGTTTTTGGAACACTTTTTTATTTAGAAATAAGAACTTTTATCCCATAAACAAAAATACCAACATTCTAAATTAATAATACAATTAAATAATGAAGCAATTTGTGTTTCTTGAAAATTGTAATTAAATACAAACATTTCTAATAGGAAAAAATTGAAGAAATGTTAAATGTATTGTGTAACAAAGATCATACCAATACACATAGACTTCAGGTCATTGGGCATATATCCTTGATTACACAGGCACTGGTATCCACCCATGAAGTTCTCACAATGTCCGTTAGAACAAATACTACTACTGGAAGAGCACTCATCGATATCTGAATTAAATGAAAAGATGATACACCTTTTTATACAAACAATTATTTCATGGCTTCTGTCGATTTTAAAATGTTCAAGTGTCAAGGACAGACTAATATTATACTATACAATCTTCAAATGTCTTTGGTGTAATCTTGTTTCTTTGGTGCATTCTCTTTTATTTTATTTTCTGCTTTTTTGTTTTTACTGAAGATTGGGATGGAGTGCTTATGAGTATGTCCTGAGAGCTATGATATCAGTTTTTAATGCACAAATCTTTTTTTCAAATAATAGATGCAAGAAAAGCTAGATGTTGTATGGGCCCTGGGAACGAGTAAAGAGTGTCGAGATACAAACAAATCATCACAGTGTAAAGAGAATGGTGCAGCAAGGAGTGCTCCGGAGATATGGCCGATGCTAAACACTCAGAAGAGGGGTGAGATGGACATACTTTCAGACTGCTACTTGTACCAACGAAGCTAGAACTCTATGCTTGCTGCTGAAGATGGGGATGCAGCATATGCAGTGAATTGAGTGATATGGTGTTAGTCCTTAACTTTCTTAACTCATAACTTAAATTGTCACTTTATTTCTAATTATCCTCTTCTTCATATACCAACTTATCGTTATCTTACCATCATATTCTATAACCTATACCATCAACTCCACAAAGAGCAAAAACATTTATTTACATTTTTACAGCAGTGGTTTTTTAAAAACAAAAATAAAATTTGAAGCTGACATTATCAGATATAAACAGTACAAAGATAGCTTACAATATGTCAGGTATGCTAAACTGTTGCTATTTTTCTTTTTTTTTAACCTATGGCTTTGGTTTTACTGGAAACTAATATATTTTAAAGATTTGTATCTTCTTCTTCTTCAGCATTCCAAGCCCTTGATGTTCATTGCTGCAGATATCACCTGCCTCCATTCTTCTCTCTGGTTGGCTTCTCTTTCCAGTTGGTGACACAAAGTGTTTGCAGGTCTGTCTGGACATTATCTCTCCATAGTCTTCTTGGTCTCCCACATGGTCTACGACCATTCATCTCCCTTGTGTATATAGTTTTTACTTCTCTGTCATCTGACATTCTTTCAATATGCCCCAACCATTTCAGTCTATTAGCTCTCATGTTAGTGATCAGTGGTGATTTAAACAGATTATCAATTTTTGTTGCTTCTCACTTTCCATTCCCCGCTGTTTGCATCTTTGATGGGTCCAAAGATTAGTTGTAAGACTCTGTTTTTGAAAACCTGTAATAAGGCTTCATCTTTTTTTAAGTTGTGCTCTAAGTTTCAGAGCCACATAAAACAACTGATCTTTTCACCATTTTATGTATTTTCATCTTAGTGTTAAAGATGTGTATCTGTAATTAATAATTCATCTACTTTCAGCCTCGTGACTTTAGAATTTACCCAATAACGTACATAAGTCCGACTGAGACATTTAGATACATACCTTTACACTGCAGCCCATCAGGTGCTAGCTCATGTCCTTCTGGGCACGTACACTCGTAACTTCCTGGTGTGTTTATGCAGCTGCCACCCCGGCATAAGGTCTTACTCTCCTCACACTCGTCAATATCTGAAATAAAGACATAAAGCAAAAAAATGTATGTATACACACACACACACACACGCACACACACGCACATGCACACACACACACATACACACACATGTGCATGAAAACACACAATAAACATGCACACACATACACAAAATAATTTACAGTTAAACAGAAGCCATCCATAGTAGAGCAGCAGCTAAAATGATAGTATATTTGCTTGCTAGCATGATTGCTTGTTGGCTTTGTGGCTCTGTTTCTGAATCCTGATTTCTGCTTCCAAGTTGACTCAGCCTAACATTATCTACTTTTACTAGGACTTATAATCGAAATGAGAAAGCTGCATTTTTCAGCCCAACACATGCATCTTCATGTCCCCTTTGTTAAGGCTGTACTGGGTCAACTGCCCCCCCCCCCCCCTTTTTCACCCCCACCCCAGGGGTCCAGAAACTCCACAGGGATAGTTATAAACTTTATCTTCTGTATGCAATGCACAGACGTTAAAAAGTTGCCATAGTAACACCAAGTTATTCCTCTCATCTTTTGTATTGCACCTCCTTGTGTCCTATAACAACTGGGACAGTAGACTTCATTAAGGGGAGCTGCAGTATAACAGCACTAATTGTTACATACATCTAAAAAAAAAACAAGCACACCCCAGTTTTTGGTTTTTGACATTCCTGGTGTACGCAAACATAATAAAAACATAATTTAATATTACGTACCAACACACATCTGATTCATCATAACACCTCTGTATCCAACACCACACTCACAGTGGAAGGTCCCTGGTTCATTGACACAATGGCCTGGGCTGCAGATACTCACCATAGAGATTCTACATTCATCAATATCTGTCAAATATATCAAACACTCAGTGAAGATATGTGCTGAAAAATACATTCTACATTTGACTAATAATGTTACTGTTTGTGGAGCAATGATCTTTGGTTTAGGTCTGCATCAAGTGGACTATTTGAAAAAAAAAAAAAAACAATCAATTTTGGCTATGAGATTGGCCAAGCCAAAAATGAGTACCAGAAAATCACTTGTGAAGTAAAGGTGCATAATTTGATGTTGACCACGACAAGAGTGGACTGAGTTTATCCCTCAGCCTGGAAAAAAAAAAAGTTCAGTCAGCTACTAGACATTTGTTAAATGTTTAAAGAATTTTTTCTTCACTCTACTATTTTTCAGTTGTTTATTATTTCATACATGGCAACAAGCTGATGTCATTGGATGTAAATATGGCTACCATGATGTTGACCAGCTCACCCAACAAGTGCCAATTGATCTATTAAATAATTATTTTTTAAAAATATATAAAATAAGTCTAGCATCATGTGCTCTATGCACTGCTGGTGTAAACAAAACAAACACAAATTTTCCTTTACTTTACTTACTTTAGTTCCTACAGTTTGTATTTAAACATCATGAATTCAATTCATGATTGAGTCATTGAATTCATGAGTGCAGTTTTACAAAAACCCCTGGGACCGTCGACAGATATACTGTGCTTGTGCTTTTTGTGACCCTCTCAGCAGGTGGCTGGCTGTTCTGCTGAGAGGGACTTAGCTATATGGAATAAAACCTGGTGCAATTAAGTCAAGTCTCTCAACTTTAACCTTTAACCTTAATTTTGATTAGTTTGTGTACACAATCCACCAGCATTGATTCCCCACTTATTTACCTCTTTGAGTTCCAAGGAACGCATCATACGTTCATAGATTCCTACCTAGAGGCCTAATGACTGCATGACGCGCCGATTTTACATCTCTCTTGACTACACCTTGGGCCTGTGATGCTAAACCCCTTGGGACTCAAAGAGTTAATATTTCAATAGCAGAGAAGCAGAGAATTATAACATAAGCATGTGTTTCTTCAGTCTGCTTTGCTTCATCCTAATGTGAGGAATAGTTATCTGTCCTTGCCAATCAACAATGTGTGACACATTGTTTGGGTTGATTTCACACCTTTCTGGTAACCATAATAGTACTCATTCCCCTTCCCCAGAGACAGTCTTTGAAACTGTCATAAACAAGATGTAAATCAACAAAGCTACCTGAATTCAGCTTTCAGGTCATAGTTTGTTTTCTGGTAATTTACTTTTGACATTACTTTTTGATATTACCTTTATTGTAGTGACCCCTGTATGTTCAGCATCATTGTAGAATAGACAACCGGAAATATAGCATATTAGCTCTACAAGTACATGAGAAATCACCTGCATTAGGTGCTTAATTTCTTCTTCCTCTTATTCTGCATTTGCCCTAACAATGGTGGTTGGCCCATTCTGCTATGTCTGAACCTTTAATCCCAACATATATGATTTCAGTAAAAAGCCATACTATTTTTTTTCACCCCTTATGACACGCTTGTTAGTGAGCTCAATCAGAAAAGGTGCTTGTGTGCTTACATGGAAAGCATAATTTATTTTGCTTATTATTTTCAGTTTGGTGGGAAGTTTTGTTTTGTTTTGTTACCTGTGTAAAATGTGTTAGTTAGTTAGTTAGTTAGTTAGTTAGTTAGTTAGTTAGTTAGTTAGTTAGTTGGGTTATCCTCATTGCACTCCGGACATGTCCATAGGTGCTCAGATCCTCCCCTCAGTATGAACCCCAACGTCCGATGGCTAATAGTACCAGTTCTATGTTGATTAACAAGTCTTCTGGCGTGTCTGGTGTGTGTCTCGTTTTTTGCTGTACCGATCTTAATTCCCAAGTCTGCCATTCTGGCGAGTGATGTTGATTCACTGCCACCAAAGTCCTCTATCCTTCCCATTTCTCTGAGGGCATTGATAATATCAGCATGATCCATAGGCTGACCGTCGGTAGTGATAGCAGATCCAGCCAACCTGTCAGCTCTTTCATTTCCATCGACGCCTGCGTGTCCCGGAACAAAAATAAAGGTGACTCCACGCACAGTGGACTTCTGTAATGATTCAAGCCATTGTCTTCGCACTGAACCTGCCTGAACCCTCCGGATCATATGATACGTGCGGTCCTTCATTGTGACGTGCAGAGCTTCATGCTGATGTGTGTGGTACCAAGATGAAATAGGCCAAGTAGGGGTAAAACAGTAGTTACTTCAATGCTTTCAAAATGTAGAGCTCGAACGCTATGCGTTAAGTTCCAACGGTTGTATTGATATATACAATCAGCAATGATTAACACAAAGGATACATATGCAAGTAATAATCAACTCGTTCAACCAAAGCTCGCTCGTACATCCATGTAATGATATGTCCTCACGATAGGTCGCAGTCCGACCTTGAGATCCAGACGATTTACTTTCTCCTCGGACAAGTCCGAATTAAGCAATGAAAGTATACCGGCTTACTGCCGAGAATGTAGTATTAACCAGCTTCCTGCTGAGGTCTATCTTGGAATCCCGGGGTAAAACGTCCTCAAGGATCCAACTTTATATAACGTTTGCTTCCGTGGGATCCCGGGGTAAAGCGTCCTCAAGGATTCCCACGTCCGTCTCCTTCGGACTATAAACATCAACTGCTTTGACAACAATATTATCATAACAACATTACGTATTGTTTTGACGTCTTATTTGCTCACTCCGTACCGGTGCGTTCTGGTGCACATTCGCACGCGACATCATACTCATTGAATCACTGAGTATACACACGCGGGTGTATTTTTGTGTTTCAAGCCAGGCAAGCGCTTGCGTCACTGCCATCACCTCCATCGTCATGCTGCTAGTTGTCATGGAGAAGGCGCCGTTGGCTTCTTTGACTGTTCTGCCCACTGAGCGTGCTGTAAATGCCCATGCGCTTCTTCTTTGGCCTATAACAGATCCGTCTGTATAGATTATTGCATCTGCTTCGTCTGAATTTTCACCGATGAGAGCATTGACCTCTGCATTAACAGCAACATAATTCTCTTCTCTACATCGCCTTTTGAGTGTGACAATACAGGAAAATGTAGAAATAAACGCCTGAGGCACAGGTATCCAGTCTGCACCAGGTATGATGTCGGTTAGGCTGCATATTTGCCTAATAACATCTTCTGCCCGACCTAGCCACGATTTCCCCCTCTTCAGTCTGTCGCCCTTTTCACTAAAAAGCGCTTGATGCAGTGGGTGTTTCTTATCAGCACATATTTTGAGATATGCCCGAGCCCTCCACATCCTGATCCTTTGGTTCATTGTTGGAAAGTCAAGTAGATACCTCATTGCTCCACAGGATGTGTCTCTTGTACATCTCAAAATAATGCTCATGGCTTCATTTTGCACCTTTTTGAGTCTTTCAATCTGGGTAGCACTGACAGTGAGGATGGCCAGAGCGTATTCAATGGGGGAAAGGACCAGACCGTAGAATAGAAGTATTAGTAGTCTTTGCTCTATATTGGAAGCAGCCATAATCCTCATTGCAGATAGACCTTTGCGTGCCTTTGTTATCACATGGTCAACGTGTTCCCTGAATGACAAGCTGCGATCGAACCTCACCCCCAGAAACGCCATAACATTGGTTCTGATCAATACACTATCACGCATTTTCACTTCTGGTAAGTCCGACTTGACAATGTGATTGTTCAAAGAGAACCATGACACTGATGCCTTCGAAGGATTGACATAGGCATTGGAACCATCACACAAGGCGGCAATTTGATCGAGTTCTTTGTGTATAGTGCTGGCGATCTCCTGTCTATCACGCCCTCGTCGATAAATCAAAATGTCATCAGCAAATGACAAAGTCCTTCCCTTTCCATTCAACTGCTGCTCAGTGATCATCACCGTATAAACGTTGAATAAGACTGGTGATAGCGGTGATCCCTGTGGCAAGCCTGGACATATCGTTTGCGGTTCTGAGGACCAGCTACCATATCTTAGTACAATCTTTCTCTGGAACAGGACCGCAGCAATCCAGCGGATCAGAATAGGATTAACTTCTAGTTTAAGCAGTAATTGCATTAAATAATCATATGGTACTTTATTGTAGGCATCTTCTAAGTCCAACACTGTCGCTCATGTCTCTTCTTTAATCTGAAATCCCTCGTACACATCTGCAGCATTGAACCATGTCTCTTTATTTAACCTGTACCCTCCAAGTGTTGGTGGCAACTTATCATGTAGTTCCAAGTAGGTGGTCAATCTTTGTGCGACAATTTTTTTCCAAAAGTTTGCGTGTAAAATGTGTGCTCTATTTTAAGGAATGTTTTCCAGAACATTTTATTTAGCATTCCCACAGTGGAACTATTACAGACAAGATGAACACCTTCATTGCAAAACGTTGTTTCCCAGATGACTCAGTATCTCTCCTAGGAATGGCTAGTCATTTTTTGAGAGCATTGTACAAAGCACACACTTTATGGCCCCAGTGACAATCCACAAGGATCTTCATTAAAAAAATTACACCCATGAATCAAACAATGCAGTTTGTGAAACAAATCCATGAACCTTCAGGGTGGGAGGCAAATGACTTGACCATTTAGCCACAGATACCACTCAAATATAAAAAGACATAGGTAAGCTAAAGTTTCTCATATAATTATTTAAAAAAAAAAAACAGTGTCACAATAATGATAATTACCAGTACAGTTAGTTCCTAAACTGTCTCTTGCAAAGCCTGGATTACATTCACACTCAAAGCTACCAATTGTGTTTTTGCATCTTCCATTAACACAAAGGCCAGGGAACATTGTGCATTCATTTATGTCTGGTAACAAAAATAAAGCATATTAACATTATGATTTCTCTCAATAAATGATTACATAGTGTTTCGTAAACTGTATTGTGGTTTTATATATATATATATATATATATATATATATATATATATATATATATATATATATATATATATATATATATATATATATAAGTAAAGTAAAGTTCCCTTTTCACGCCTTTCGGCGCATCGGGCATATGGGCAGAGCGTCGGATATTTTTACAGACCATCAGCACTCTGTGGGTAATGTGGTCAGCATTACGCCGGCTGTCTTTACTTTCCCAGGACAGCCCATCCTGGTACCCATTTTAGGCTGGGTCTACCTGCGATGTCCCATACCACGATAAAAATCCACGCAGCCCACGCAGGTTTCGATCGCGGTATGCTGGCTTACGAGTCGGACTCGCAAATATATATATATATATATATATATATATACACACATTTATATTTATATTAAAGTATACCAGGAAACTAATGGAGATACATGTGTGTGATGAAATTAATTCCTGACAAATGACCCTCAGCAAACCAATTAAATTATCATACTATTACTTTGATAAATGAAAACAGCAAAATATGAGTGAAAATCATGATGGAGAGCTAAGAAAAGAAGCTAGAATTTGGAATACATGAGGTACCATTGGGATTTAGACAGAGTAGATATATCAGGGATCATTTCTGCAATATGAGAAACTTCTTTGGCTAAAGTAAAAAATACAAAGTAGACCTTCATACTTCTTTGATAGACTTAGGGTATTTGACTGTTGAGTGTTAAGTATTAAGCTGAAAACTGACATCAGAGCACTCATGAAATTTCCATAAGCACTCCATCCTCATCCTCAGCAGTCAGTCTGGTGGCATCAGTAGCAATTTATAATATGTCTGTTTAGTCTTTTCAATGAGTGTAGAGTGTCAACCAATCCTATGGTCACTCACAGTTGTACCATTCTCTCCAGACCATAATGATTGATTAGTGCCTCTGCATTGTTCACGAGAATTTGACTGTGTTAAACATTAAACAAATTTTGGGATAAAAATGCATGGGACAATATTGAAGGACTGATGCTTAGCACTATGACGAGACCAGCATTCTTCAAAGAACTTGCTATCTGATGCATTTTACAGATGAAAACTGAAAGAAAGAAAGAAAGAAAGAAAGAAAGAAAGAAAGAAAGAAAGAAAGAAAGAAAGAAAGAAAGAAAGAAAGAAAGAAAGAAAGAAAGAAAGAAAGAAAGAAAGAAAGAAAGAAAGAAAGAAAGAAAGAAAGAAAGAAAGAAAGAAAGAAAGAAAGAAAGAATGTTGAATGTTGAATTATGAATTGACATCACAGCGCTTGTGACACTCCCACAAGTGCTCCATCCCCACCTTCAGCAGCAAACGAAGAGTTACAATTCTGATGGCACCAGTAACTGTCTGATTGTACATCCATCTCACCTTTCCTTTCAGTGATGAGCGTCCGCCAGATCCCCTGGCAACTCTTCACAGTGCCATTCTCCTAAGATCATAATGATCTATTTGAGCTTCCACACTGTTCACTAGCTAACAGAGGGCCCTCACAACATGTAGCTTGTCATACATCAGTTCACCACCAGGTGGGGCAGAACTGGCCAGTCTATCTGCCTGCTTATTTCCCAACACACCAGCATCAGCTTGAGAGAATATCCAAAGGATGCTAACTACCCAGGACCTCTGAAGTGATGCTTGCCACTCTGCATGGCGCATACATGTCTCCACCTTACTCATTATGCTCTTTAAGTCAGTGACAATCACGGCATGTGTGTACAGCTAATTTTCAAGCCAGAGGAATGCAGCAGTGACTGCCTCCACCTCCATTATCAAAATTGATGTTATGATATCATATGTCAGGCTTTGTTGCACCAAGCGACTTCCATTTGCTTTTGCTACGAAACCCTATGCACTTTCACAGAGCCACATGTATAATCACATGACTTGGGTGAGAATTGTCATGAATCATTTGTTGAACTTCTAATTCTGCAGCACCAGCTGGCCAGTCCCTGCACTCACGACCCAAAGTGATAAGAACCCTACACAAGTCTGAAACTTGCTCGGACACTTTGACCCACTTTTCACCTGCACAAATTTATGAAGCCTGCACACAAGTCTGATTGTATCTTCAGCTTCTTTATGCTCCTAGCTAATGATATCCTGTAAATAATTATCATTTATTGTACTAGACAGATTAACTCTGAATTTCTAAGCTCCCTATCATTATGATCAATTTGGAATATAAATCTCTTTAAAAAAGCTTCCACTTTCTCTTTGTCTGTTGTCATTGGTTTATCATTATCAGTGTATATAATGCCTGTTGTGACAGGCCGATCCTTTCTTTCAATCTGTCTGTGAAGTTTCCAAGACCTACCCAGTGATTTATCCCTCCAATTTAGCTCATAAAATGTTCCCATTTAGCCTTTTTTGCATTTGCTCCAAAAACAAAGAAAAAAGGAAGAAAGAAAGAAAGAAAGAAAGAAAGAAAGAAAGAAAGAAAGAAAGAAAGAAAGAAAGAAAGAAAGAAAGAAAGAAAGAAAGAAAGAAAGAAAGAAAGAAAGAAAGAAAGAAAGAAAGAAAGAAAGAAATTTTAATAACATAAAAAAGACTTTTATGGTCCTACTTAGTAATATAAAACAATATATCAGTTATTTATTGATATGATAAATACATTCACAGTTTATGCTTGAATAAATGAATCACCAATTAACAAAAGATTCCACACACTCAAAGAAGAAAAAGAAAGATAATGCTTGTAATGTTCAACTTTTATATTATTTAGGGTCTTCTTTCGATACTTCTTTTCTGTACTTTGTTAACTGCTAAAAAAAAAATCAAAAAACATGCAAATTCATTTATTATGACACCTTACTGGACTAAATGGTTCCTCAGCACTTGAATCATTAATAAAATATTCAAAGTAATACCTTTTTGTTCTCCAGGCTTGCCATCAACACACAGTGCCTCAAAGTCCTCTGAAATAATTTGACAGTGAGGCAAATGTTAAAGTCCTTTTTGGTTTTATAAGATCACAATACTTGCATTATTAATTTTCAAAATATTTGAGATGGTATTCACAGCACAATGTTTCACAGTTACATAGTTTTAATTCCAATGTTATTTCAGGTGCAACATATGCCAGTAAAAGTTGGAGAACCAGTTGAGGCAAATGCCTCTGGAATTTGACAAACAATAAAGAGGATGATGTCAAAACAGATGAAGTAATAAAAGAAAGGAATCACCAGCCAAGCACTGAAGTGGGAAAGAAATGGATCAAGGAAATTTGGGGGCACATGAGAGAAACGCTGTTGTTGAGAGAGACCAAGGCCCTGGACTGGATTCTTTCCATGATACTAAGAGGTCTGCAAAGAGTAAAACAAAATTGAGGACCAGACTGTGAGGCCAGTGTAAGGTATAATGGCACAAGAGGATGATGATGATCTCAAGTGTAAAACAATATAAGTCTTTATTTAAAATAGTTCCTTGCCTGCTAGCTCACTGGCCAGGTAGAAACTGCAACCAAGCAGATTGCTATTTTAAAAATTAACCTTTCCTACTATGTCAACCCAGTCTAAAATAGGCACCAGGTAATGCTAATTGGTCTATAAAAAAATATGAATTTGGTATCATATGCTTGATGTACTTCTAGAAGGGAAAAGGTTTACTGTTACCTCATACTTTCATAAAAATTTTCCACAACTGAAAACATTCACACAGATTTTTTAATATGGCATTGCAAAGAACACAATTTGAATGATAAAAAAAAAAAAAAAGAAGAAGAGTTACAACAAAAAAAAAGATAAATAATTAAAAAAATGTATAACACTGTAATGACCCCCCCCCCCCACCCACCCCCCCCCCCCCCCCCCCCGTCCACCTTCCCCCTCCTTCCCGGGGTATTTTCTCCAACAAAGAAAATAATCTATTGGTGTAAAAACAATAATGGTAAAGAACAAATGTCAAAGCCCATTGGAATGCAGCCTATTATCAATAACAATAAGGAAAGAATAGTTAAATTAAAAAAAAAAATTAAGTCATATAAACACCCAGTCATACAATTCATTAAAATGAAACAAATGAAATAGTTTAACCATCTGACGAGAAGAAATATAATGAACATAGAGCAAGGGCAAGAACAAACAAAAGATGGAAGGATGTTAAGAAATAAAGCTTCTTTTTCTTAGCACTCGCTAGATGCAAACCCTGTCAGAAAGTTCTGATTGTTCGTCCACTTCGGGACTGTGGTCTTTTTTTCCAGAACTTGTGTTTTGCATACATACCTATTTTACAGATCTGGCTTAGTGTATGCAGACTGTTGCTTTCTCACCAGAGAACAACTTTGAGCCATTTAACAGTGCGGAGACACATATAGATCATTACGGTCTGGGGAGAATGCCAGGAGTTACAAGGGGAACTGGCCAATGGTCAAAACTCAGGGAAAAAATAAGACGGATATACAATCCGACAGTTACTGGTGCCACTGGAATTGGAACTCTTTGCTTGCTGCTGAAGATGAGGACGGAGCACTTAAAGGGGTGTCCTGAGTGCTATGATGTCAATTCTTAATTCAACATTCAAAATTCAGAACAACTTAGACAACTTAGGACCAACTTTTACAGACTATTTGAAAGAGTACAGGTACAATACTTACCTTTACTACTAATACTACATTAAGATAAATTGAAGATATGAAGAAAAACTATCACATACTTAACAAATATAAGGGACAATTGTAGCTGATATTATTGGCTAAAGAAATCTACAGACCTGTTCCAGATCTTGGGCAGGCAGCACAAGGCTCTCCCCAGGCAGCGCCTAATGAACAGCAGCAATCTGACCTAGTGAACAAACCCATGAAGGGCAATGAACAGAACATCCTGGAGTAATCCTGGTAACAGCTGCTCCTCCTCAAATCTGGCAACAGGAAATGACATTGAAGAGTACAACAGTCAAATCACATTGACAAACAACAGGTATAATTTTGTTTTATTATTTTAAAACTAATAATGTTATTTAAAAAAAGAGGAGGAGAAATAATGACATCTTAAAAGATCTGAACATCAAGGAAGATTGGCCAATAAACAGCGTCCTTTCTCAGAAGCTGAAATATTTTGGTCATATCAAGTGCCACAACGGATTGGAAAAAACTATAGCAGAAGGCATGGTACCAGGAAGGAGGGGCAGGGGCCGACCGACACGAAGATGGGCACAGGATATAAGTGACTCCTTGAGTATGAAAGTGAAAGTAAATGAGGCAGGAGAACTGACGAGAGACCGAGTTTCTTTCAGGCAGACTGTGATGAGAGCAACGTTCTGCAAAGGACCTGCTACATGATGATGAATGTTATAAAAACTGAAAAACAGTATTTAATGCTATTGTGGAATTGTTTTTTGAATAGTAAAAACGCTAGGCTCTTATGCAGAAGATCTGGGTTCAAGTTCTCGGTAAGGTGATGGTAATTGTTTCCTGAGGCAGCTAAACTAAAAATCTTAACTTGCACTGTTCATGGTGGCAGCAATAGCCTCGTGACCCCATATCCTCAGACTTTATACTCGCTAACAACACCACAGTTTGAAAATAAAAAGGGAATGTGGAACTAATGAGTTTGGTTGTCGTTGGCAATATTAACTGCTTTATTTAGTTAGTGCACGCCATCATCATCATCAAGTAGTTTGCCAAATTACACATGTGACCGAGATTCTAAATTTCTGATCTCTAAAACAATGTATAAGTTTATGTTTTCAAAGTGCTTTATATCATGACTAAAGCTGTCAAGAATCATGTTTGATTATCTTGCTCTGTATGACTTGTCGAGGTAATCTTTCTTATCATCATATTATGTCACCTTTTTTCTCTGTTCACATATAGTAAAACATACTAGCTTCTTTCACAAAACTAACAGCATGTTCACCTGAATAATTATTTTTGTAGTATGTTGTTTTATTAGATTACTCATAACAGTCATCAAAAGTAATGCAACTGGAATTTAAGGCACATTTAAACAGGAAAAGAAACTGACACAGGCTCTGAGGTTGATTTGACTAAATGGTGTTCCAGGAAGTGTCTTGGGAAGTTAATGTGGCCAGTTTCATCCTAATCAGATCACCTGTCTCCCTGTGTGGGTTCCAGGGCTCCATTGTGAGGGAAACAAGAATAGACCCACTGCCTCCCCAACAAGTATGTCATAAGATTAAACTAAATGGGGGCTTCCTTTGAAGTCAGAGTGCATATGCTTGAGAGGCAAGGAACCAGTAATCTGCATACAAATAAGTCAGATCTGTAAAACAGATGTGCACACAACACTCCTGGAACAAGACCAAAATCCAGAGGTGAACAAACAACCACAACTTTAGCAACACAAGTTTATAGCCAGTGAACACAAAGAAGAAGAGTATGAAAAATACCAGGCAAGAGAAGTGAAGGAAAGATACGAGTGAATAGCTGGGCAACAAATAATAATAATAATATAAGCATGATGTTGCTGGAAAATTTCTATCTTTCCAGATGATATTGTTACACTGTGCTTTAGGAAGGCATATGAATCACATTCCATGGTAGTGGCCAGTGTGACTAGCAAGGCCCACCTGCATTTAAAAAAGTCTTCCAGAATTAGAGCATTGGATTTCAGGTCTGTTGTAGCCATCATATATATATATATATATATATATATATAAATTTAGTGTACTTCACAGATGCTCAGCTTCCAAACATGTTTTCATTTTTTTTCTCCATTATCACCCTGATTTACCCCCTCAACACAACATGGTCCATGGTAATTGTTTCCCATGGATCTACCTCAGTATGAGTATCATTCATGTTTTGCTTACACACATCCTTACATCGGCCGACCTCAGTATCTTCTACCATCTGTAACTCATAATAGAGGATGTCCTTATGGACTCTGAAATGCTCCATTCTCCAAATATGACCAAATCACCTGAGCCTTTGAAGACTGAGCAGAAAACTGATGTGATACCTAATCTTTTTCAGTAACTCAATGTTTGTGATCTTGTCTTGCCACTTAATGCCACGTGTTCTTGTGAATAAGTTGACCAAGTTTCACTGCCATAAAGAAGAATGCTGAGAACAAAAATCTAATTTGCATCTATCCTGAGCTTTCTGCTCTCACAAACTTTGTTAATCTGCTCACTGTTGTTGCTGCCTTACCTATTTGGATGTTGATTTCTTGATCCAGTGATAGTTTGTTATACACCACAGATCTCTGATTTGTAAAAAGTACATGATGTAAAAAGTACATGATAAACTTCAATTGAATATCAGATGACAGAGACAAAGTGAATCATGGTTGTTAATGTCAACTACAAATAGACCTTAAGGGAAGATTAGCCAAAATAACACAATGAATGAAGGCACGAGATAGTGCTGGAGATTCACCGAACCAATCTTCACTGTTAATATGGCAAGTTTGGTTATTAATTACAAAATGAGGAAACAAAATCATACTTCACACTCACCAATACATCTGCGACCAGTTGTATCCAATGAAAGCCCAGGAGGACATGTACATGTAAATGAACCATCTGTATTCACACACTGACCACCTCCTTTGCAGATATTTGGAATGCGCTCACATTCATTGATATCTAAAGAGGTATGTATTTTTATAATATGGTATTATTTTGAAATAACAATTCTGGAATAGGTATCTGTGCAAAATATCACAAGGCTGCATTCTCTGTTACCATGTTTAACTTTAAAATGCAAAAAGTTTTCGAAAACAAGTCTTTCCCTGTTTTTAATTCCTTCATTTAACAAAAATGATTATTTTTACAACATTAGTGAATGTCATAGAATGTGACAAAAATGTGGCTTATGCAACAGCACTGCATGTGTATGGCCATCTTGTGATAACTGACTACCTCTATCAAAGACAAATTACAATTGTGGTGGTGACTGTTCATGTTGGCCCCTTAAGCGGCAGCCTTTTACATTTACTGCATGTGCATTTTTCTGGATTTTGCTAGGACTAAATTGTTTGTTTAGTTAGTTAGTTAGTTAGTTATTCCTCTTGTGCCAAAGATGGCGCATAGGGCAGAGGTCATAGCTTTCCACGTCTGTCGGTTCGTTGCCACTTGATGTAGGTCTTGAGTGCGACTGAGACCTATGGTTGAGCTCTCCCTTGTGATGGTTCTACGGAGAGTTTCTTTTGGTCTTCCCTGTTTTCTTTTACCCTCTGGTGACCATATGAAGGCTTGGTGGGGAAGTCTCTGTATGTCCATTCTGAGTACGTGACCGATGTAATTCCACCGACGCATTCTAATAAAATCAGACACATATTTTTGTTTTGTTTCCTGTCTTATAGATGTATTGGACCTAAAGTCCGACCAGTGAACATTCAATAGCTTTCGGAGGCATCTATTCTCGAAAGCGACTAGTTTCTTATCGATTGATACTGATGATTTCCAACTCTCACAACCATAAGTTAGCACTGGGATCACACAGGAATTGAAGACCTTAAGTTTCGTGTTGTTGCTGAGTGATCTTGACTTCCAAATGTTTGACAGTTTGTTAAAGGCACTTGATGCTAACGCGATTCGAGTCGTTATTTCTGATGTTGTATCTCCCGCAGAGATTATCTTGCTCCCTAAGTATGTGAAGCTGGTGATTTTTTCAAGAACAATATCCTTTAGTTTGATGTCTTTCGACTCGTTGGTAAGATCGATGATTTTCGTTTTGGCTGCGTTGACCTGAAGGCCGATTTGGCTTGAAATATTCTGGAGGCGGTCCATTTTTTCCTGAGCTTCTAGATGTGTTGTGCTCAGGAGTGCTAGGTCGTCAGCAAAGTCAAGATCTTCGAGAACTTTGTCGAGCCATTTGATGCCTAGATGTGTGTCCTGTGTGCATTTGCGCATGACCCAATCGAGTGCTATTCCGAAAAGCATCGGTGACAAGACACATCCTTGTTTCACGCCTGTTTCTAAATTGTTTGTTTACTAGTTTTTAATGTTTGGTAAGAGGTATTTTGTATGGCTTTCACTGTCACAGGAACAGAACAATTATGGGGTGACTCATTTGCAGAGAAGCTGAAACCCTGACTCTGTCTAATGAAAAAAATAGAAAGTGTGTGAGATGAAAATGTGTGTGTGTGTGTGTGTGTGTGTGTGTGTGTGTGTGTGTGTGAGGGGGGGGGGTGTTGTGTGTATACATACATGCATGTGTAAAATCAAGTACTACACTAATAGACTGAATAATTCTGCTTTCTGTGCACTCCTGATATCAAGAACAATGTTATTCATTTACTGATTTCTTACTATACAGTTATGCAATACTGTCAATAATCTTCTTTTTCTACATTACTGTAATTGAATATCTATCATGAGAGACATCATCAATGCTATACAAGAGACTAAATACTGTGAGGCTTTCAGTTTCCTGGAAAATGATTTAACACTGTATAGACTGCATACTCTGGGGCATACCAGTTAGAGTTGCAAGACAGGAAAACCAAGCGGGAGCCACCCATCATTACATCAGCCAGAACAGAATGGGAGTTGTTAGCCTAAAAGCACTTGGAGACATGCTCAGGAGGAGATCAGAGCTCTTTTGGTGATGTCTGATGTGCGATGAAGATGATCTTTAAAATGACAAATCAATAATTCCTGCTAAGATATTTTAAGTGCTCATGCATTAATTTTGTGAGAATAGTTTAATTCTTGTATGGTGAAAGTAGTTATAATAATTATAATATGTTTCTTCACATTTAGTTTTCGATAATCTACAATTTTAATATTTAAATTTTAATTAAATATAAAACAACATAAAAGGAAATCAGCATTTAGGACATACCAACACATGTGACACCATTTTTGAAAGAATATCCTTTTGGACAGTGCAGCTCACCTGTAAGAATTCAAACAAATTGTCATAAGAATATAGAAAGTGTTTTAATTTTGAATGTTAAAAACAATTTAATATCACAGAATTTACTTTGCAGACCAAATTGTAATTACTTGTTAGACCAATAATCAATTAAATTTACACATTCTACAGAAATTATAACATGCCATTTCAAATTACCCAGTCTAAGACCATTAGAAAGTGTTCATTTGTCACCATCACCACCATGATCAACATTATGACTGTTTATAGCATCTGATTACATAGGCTTCTTTTGAGGATTATCTAAGTAAAAGTTATCATATTCTGAAAAGCTGTATAATTTATAAATGTCTGGCTAAACAGCAGTAAACTAAGTCTTTATACACCATGAGTTGAAAGCAAAGCAACAACTACACCACATTAGTCCCAGCAAGAGACCTAATTTGTGAGATCAGTTAAAACCCATATCCATTTGTTCTGGGTTAATTTCAAATATCCTGAGACTACTTTTTACAAAGATATTTATTTTTTATAAATGTTTAGACCCGCCCACACTGGACTACAGTGTAACTGTTTTGTGGTGCCCCAGCATATCTGGGTTATATGGTTATATGATTATATGGTTAAAAAGTGTTTCCAAGATTTGAACGTGTCTGATTCTCATCCTTGAGATGTTTATCCTACAGACTGCAATCTTGTAAAGGGAAAAACTTAAACTTAAAGATATGAAATCAGCAAAGGCACAAATGAACAAGTAATGAAATATAAATGCATAAAATTGCATCTATATATTTACTTTGTGGTGGGCAAGGTGCACAGGGGCTACCCCATGCTTGTCCGACAGAACCACAACATTCTGACTGAGTGAGCAGTCCTGGCAGGTTGTCCTCACAGAATCCATCAATGATACTCAGCCAGCAGGTGCCTTGTCGATTGTCTGTGAATAAATAAAAGCTGTGTAATTTCATCAATGATATTTTTATGAGATTGTTAATACACTAGTTAGATAATCTAACATCTAAATCTGAGAATAATTTTGCAATTTGATAATCCTGTAAGGAATAATACAATAATATGATAATAATCAAGTAACAATAGTGCAGTAGCTAGCATACACTTTTTCCAACCACATGGTAATAGGTTCAAATCCCCACTAAGAAACATTTCTAAAAATTATCTAGACTCTTTAATTTCATTTGTTTTTTTAGTTTATTTTAATTTAAACACATAAAATTTAGATTTCATGAGGCCCAAAATACTTGCCTCTAATTATAAACACTTGACTTATAGACCAAAACTATATTCTCTTATTTTGAACACTTGGCTGTAATTGCCCCAAAATACTGATATCTTGCTGAATCATTTCATAAAAGAAGCCAAAAATACTTGCCTCCCACCTTTTAAATCTTTGAGTCCCGATGAACGCATGATGCGCCAATTTTATTACTTTCTTTACTACCCCCTTGGGCCTGTGATGCTAAGCCCCCTGGGATTCAAAGAGTTAATGGTTATAATACATAGTAAGATAATGCCAGTGAACAAAAATATAAATCATTATCATACCAATACAAATACGGCCTGTTGTGTCCAGAATTCTGCCTACTCCACACTTGCATTTGAAGCTGCCTGGGGTGTTGATACATTCACCTCCAACACAAGGGTTGCTCTGACATTCATTCAGGTCTAAGCAAGAAAAATATATCATTAAAATTATGACAGTATTGCATGGTTTCAAAATGTCTAGGTAATGTTAATAAAAATACACATATTTCTCTTGTGAGTTTGTGGTTTCAGAAGATATGGCTGCATTGAAGTTATGCTTCTTTTTTTTCTACTTAACCAGACTTAAAAGTGTGGCTAGAACAGAGATGTACTGTTATTATCCTAATTAAAATGTCAATTTTTCAGTTTTTTAAAAGAGTGATGAGGACGTTGTAGGCAGTGAAAAAAAAATAAAAAGTGAGGTATTGAAAGCTTTACAAACAAAACTCCTCAAAACCATAATATAAAACAAATGAAATTGATACAGCACATGAACAGAAGATAAATTACCTTTACATGTGAAAATCTATTCAAGAAAAGCATAGAGAAAGCTGACTGCAGAAAGTTAAAGTTGGGCAAAAATTTATAATGTAAGCAATGCAAACTTCAGCAGAACATCAAATTACAGACAAGGTTGGTGGGTTATGATTACCAGTGAGTAAAGTCAAGAGCATAACATCAGCAGCTGCTCTCAGTCTTCCAATGGATAAGAATGGTAAGATGTTTTTCAGGGTTCTCAAAAATATAATGCTTTCATATAAGAACAAATGCATCAATGTAATAACAGTTTTAATGCTGAGCAACATATTCATTATTCCTTCTAGCAAATGGATCATTAAAACATTGTAGTGATTAACAAACCTTCACAAACTAGACTTCTGGCATTGAACTGAAAACCTTCTGGACAAACACAGTGGTAACTTCCAGGTGCATTCCTACATTGTCCTCCATCACAAAGCCTTGGATTCACTTCACATTCATTTATGTCTGCAGGATGGAGCAAACAAAATTAAGAAGGGTAAGAACAAATAAGAACACAACTAAAATCAGTAGCTGTTAAAAAAAAGCAGTAAATTAGATATGACAATGAAATTACCTAACACCTCACAAAGATTCTTCAAGTGACCTGAAAGATGTAAATGGGTGGGTGTATTGACATGATGGAGTTACCAAGTTCCTATTGAAAGCTTGCAAGGTCGCCAGTTTGCCTCAGACTTAGATGCACAAAATGCTGTGCAAAAATGGCTTCACAATCTTTTATTTGGAAGGAGTCCATAAGGTCTTTGACCTCTGGGCAAAATGCATTGATAAGGAAGGAGATTCTGTAAAAAAATGATGTGCACAGTGAAACTTCATGGAAATAAACTGTAGAATGAAAAGTGTAGATACATTTTTTTTTCTCTATTGTAAAATGGCTCCTTGTGATATCTGGCTGTACTCAAACCTGAAAATGTAACTGAAAGAATTAGGTCCCAGAAGACACTGTGCTGAATCTTACTCCTATGCTCTACTCCATTCTCAAAGATACTTCTTGAAATGCTTCCAACATGGTTGGATGATGACACACAGATGCATATATAGTCCAAAGGTGACTCTTTGAGCCATTTAGAATTTTATACTTCCAAGTGAGCAAGAAAATTGCTTCTGATCAAAGATACTTTTTGAACAGCCCATGCAAATAGCTAAATTACAAAATGAAATTAATAATGATCAAGTTTTACAAACAGATGTCAAACCAATAAGAGAAACCCCTGCCTCCTCCCCTATGTTATTTAACCTTTTTTGGTAAAATATTGCTCAGATAAACTAACTTACTAATTCTAAACATGTAATCAGAAATAATTATTAATATATAACTTTATAAAATACCTAGACACTTCAGCCCTGTAGAATCCACTCTGAAACCAGGATTGCATACACAGCGGTAGCCATTGTCGAGATTTTCACAGCCTCCATTGGGACAAATATCTGGCCACTGCTGACATTCATTAATGTCTAAAATGGAAAACAGATTTATGACTAAAGATGTTTATAACATGAAGTGAAAACATTATACTAATAAATATAATTAAAAAAAATATAAATTAACAAACAAACAAAAAATTGATTTTCTGCAAGCATTTTAGGATATCACATTTAAAAAAAATATATATAAAATTTATATATTCAAGTACATATTTATGAGAGAGCTAACTAATTTGGTTATTTTTATACTCTATAAAAGTCTTTACATTTAGAGCTCAGCAGATACAATTTAAGAAGTCTGCAATATGATATTTTAAAAAAAAAATAATCACTTCACTTTAGGAACCAATCTTTTTGGTGATTACTCCATTTATAAATTGTAATAAGTTTTTCAGTATGATAATTAAAAAGTTCACGGTCAATGGAAAACCTGCAAAAATAATACAAGTCCACAGGTCGTAGGAAATTGGAAACCACTGCTAGGATACTTGGTAGCATACTTGTCGACTCATCCAGTGGTCAAGTGTCTTAATTCTAACTAAAGCACAAATTTATTTTTGATAACTGATCTTTGTTCTTAAGTTTTCTTCTTATAGTCCATGCTGCATGGCATTGGTAATCATGTCTATTCCATTGCCTCGAGTTTTGACAGTCATTTCTGATACAGACGATCATCAATGCCTTATGTCTAAAACCCTTTCTCTTCCACTGTAGCTTCTGATATCATGAATTCCTTAAATTTTTACTTTATTGTGTTGTGCCCAAAATGTGTTTTTTGAAGCTGGTAATTCTCTTTGTGAGTTTTTTTTTTAAAAGACATAATTACAAGTTGGTATCTATCCATAAATCAACTATGATCTCATCATTCTTCTATAAAACCACATCTCCATACACTTTCTCACCAATCAGCTGATGCCCCTAATTAACTTCTATACATCAGGACTTGACACAAATAGTTTTAAGGTTTAAAAATATTTTCCCTTTCTGCAATTGTATCCCAAAGGACTGAGACACAGTGACCTTAAAAATTCAATGTGGATGTAAAACATCAGGAGAAAATCCCAGGAACCCAACTCAGCCAGACATAAATTGTATATGGAGAGAAAAACCAGCTGTCTAGTATGGGTGGGTTTGCAGTTGTCATACATTTAAGACTAATTCAGTGAGGTGGGAGAGTTGGGAATATCTTGGACAAAGAAGAGGAGAAATACTGGCTTCTTGAAAGATCCGAACATCAAGGAAGATTTGTTAATAAACAGCATCCTGTCTCGGAAGTTGAAATATTTTGGTCATATCAAGTGCCACGATGGATTGGAAAAAATAGTAGCAAAAGGCATGTTACCAGGAAGGAGAGGCAGGGGCCGATCAACACGAAGATGGGCATAGGATATAAGGGACTCCTTGAGAATGAAAGTACATGAGGCGGGAGAGCTGGCGAGAGACAAGAGTTTCTTTCAGGCAGACCGTGATGAGAGCGACGTTCTGCAAAGGAACTGCTACATGTTGAAGAAGATGGGAGAGTTGGCGGAATGGGGGGAGGGAGTGGGTGGGTGAGGGTAGTAGAGATTCTGGAAGATGTTCCACAATGAGGGGGAACAAAAGCAGTCTTTTAATCAGGTTGCAACTGGTACTATTACATGTTGACTCTTCACTGGCTAATGAAGAAGGGGTCAAAGCACATGTGAGAATGTGCCAAGTTCAGTGATGTCAGTTCTTGATTCATTCGTTCATTACATAATTCAATCATTTATTTAAAAAACTTGCTTGTCACCCCAATTGACAAAAGATGTTACAAAAAAAAAAAAAAAAAAAAGCTCATCAATATATGGAAGTTTATTTAATTAACACACAGCTCACCTCTTCTATCATGATCTTTGCCCTTTCCATAAGGACACAGCTGAATAAATTCGGGATCTTCCATGCTGGGGCAAGGTTCACACGGTGAACCCCATGCATATGTCTGGCCAGGTGGTGTCAAACTACAGCAACAGCCAGATCGAGACATGAGATGTGGAAGTGGATTCAAGCATCTATCACCTCGGTAGTCAGGGTAGCAGAGACCTCGACGGACATCTGTTCAAAGAATAAGGAGATGTAGTTTACATTTTTCCTTTTGTTTATATTCGAACCAAATATACAAACAGACTTGAAGCAAGCATTTAGGGCAAATTAAGTAGAATTATATATGTATAAAGTTGTAATTTTGCTCAAATATGCATAAAACGATTAAGTCACCAAACAATAAAAATTTGAAACATTAAATCGATTAGCTTAATAAAGAAAATAATTATGCTTGGGTTCTAGGGCTCATCTGAAGGGGGGTGGGGTGGGTAGACTTACTGCCCTTAACAAGCAGGATTTACTGACATAGGATATGTTTGGCCAAAAGGTGCAAATATCACAGCCTGGCTATAAACCACAAAAAAAAATGCCAAGTGATTATTAAAGGTGCGGAAAAAAAAAGAAGCAGAAAAGAAAATAGATTTCTCTCACCAGAGCATGTTCTTCCATCTGGACCAAGTACAAAACCATGTGGACAATCACAACGGAAACTTCCCTGGTTGTTGACACAAATTCCTTTGTTGCAGATGTTTGGATGGATCTCACATTCGTTTATATCTAGATTTAACACATGAAGAAAGCAAGAACAAAATTAGAAGCAATAATAATATTATTCAAAGGTGCCATTATATTTTAGTTTTACTGAATTAGTAAAGAAAGGGATTACATAAAGTTCAACATAAAAGTATTCAGGAGGCGTACAGATTAATAATAAATATTTTAGATGCTTTGTGAATTGCTGTCACTATACTGGTAAATATTCTAATACCCATGTTATTTAAGACTTTGATTTTTCTTCGCTTGCCTGGTGTATAGAATATAGTCCTGCCCTATAAGCCCAATATGCCTGAAGGCATGGAAAAGGGTCCTTTACTTTCCCCTTTTTTGAAAAACACATTCTGCTCTTTTGAACTCACTCCTTTCATATATCATTTCATTCGTACACCATTTGTGGGTAATAATAAACATCATCAACATCAACTAAATATTAGTTACAACATGTGGAATGTGCTTGAATACTGCTTATACTTATAAACAACACTACTAGTTGTAATAAATATAAGGAAAATATCACGACGGGTAAAGAAAACACATAAATTGGCTATTATGACAATTAGGTCAGAGGAAAGCATTATTAAATGAAATCAAAATAGGCCAAAAAAGGTACTTTGTATGCACATAAAACTGTATAAAGCCAAGAAGACTGTATTCACTAGTTTTTAATCACATATGGCTTAGTCTCTCTCCATAGAGCAGATTTTTTACACCCTGAGAGTTTTAAAGGAAATTCGTAGCCCATGAAAAGATTCTAGGGATTTCCAAAAGGTCTGCTTTCACACACACACCAAAAAAAGATTAAATTTAAAATTGAACCTACAACCATCAGAGCGTAAGATTTATGGTTTAATTATTTCTTTGTGGAGAATTCTTACTTTTCACAAATAGAGACAAACTCTTACTGAAGAATATATTTAAGGAAAGAGTAAGGGACATTCATGCAATATCAGGCTTTAGAAATAGGCGGACAACATCAAGGAATGTTGAATTAAGAATCGACATCACAGCATTCGGGACACTCCCATAAGTGCTCAGTCCCCATCTTCAGCAACAAGCCAAGATTTCCAATTTCAATAGTACCAGTAACCCTCTGATTGTATAACTGTCTCATCCTTCCCCTGAGTGTTGAGTGTCGGCCAGATCCCCTGGTAACTCCTCACAGAGAATTATGGCTATCTGAATAATACATATGTATCTGTATTTTGTTTTAAATGAAAAGAACACTTTTTGAATAAAATATTTAAAAACTGTACTCAAAGCTGAAATAAACTAATAAAACCACACTTCATTACGATGCTGGAAAAACAAGGGCAATAAAAAAAATGGAAGGATGAAATACAATTTATGAACTAAACAACAAAATCCTAAATAAAAATCAGAAAAAAACCCTAGCTTGAGTAACTAAACAATTAACACTGTACTTTTATTTTTAAGGCCTATCAAGCACTTATTCGGTGAAGTAGTCAACTTAATGTGAAATATTTTTACTTTCCATCACATTTCCTTTTGTCTGTTTTAGAATGGGTTGACCTAAGAGCCAATGCCATTTCTATAAAAAAAAAAAAAAAAGACCCAACCTGATGCAGATTTAAACCCGAAACCTTCAGGCCTGGGGGCAAGCAAATATTTAAAAGTAACTAAACAATAAAAAAAATATTTTATGAAAACAAGGAATTAATAGCTAAAGAAAAAAAAATTAAAACCAGAAATTACCTAAGCGACACTTTTAATAGCTGAACTGAATTTTTTAAACAAATATACTCAACAACATTATTATTCCACAAAATATAATTCATACCTATGCAGGCCTGTCCGTCTGGACCAAGCTGGAAACCAAGGTTGCAGATGCATTTGTAACTCCCCATCATGTTCTGGCATCTGCCATTTGCACACATTCCAGTTCGTTTGCATTCATCAAAATCTGCAAGTAGGCAGAGAACAGTTACCAAATTAGTAAAGCTGTTCTTAGCAGTGATGAATGAGTGAGTTAATGAGTGGATGAGTGAGTGAGTGAGAAGGTGTGTATGTATGTGTGTGTGTGTGTGTGTGGTATGATAGTGTGTTTGGTGTGTGTTGGGTGTTGTACCTATTTCTATTTGTGTATGATGATATAGTATGGCCAAATCAACTGTACTAGGACAATTACCAAAATAGTTAAACCAATAAAGGTCAAGTAAGGTCTGTTTTCCACACCTTCAGGTGTACTGGGTATATAGTACTAGAACTATATTCTGTATATCACTCGGGACAAGGTGGGTGATGTGGTAAACATCATGCCGGCCACTTTTACTTCCCATGAGTACCTGGTACTAACTCAAGGATGGGTCAACCTTGGAGCCAATTTCATTTCTGAAAAATGTCCTGCTTTGTTTGGATTCGAACTCACAACTTTTGGATGTGCAAGTGAGCACCTAGCTGCTACACCACAACAGCTACCAGTAAAACTAATGCAATGAAATACATTTTGTATAAGATATTAACGAGTCCATACCTAAACAGAAAGCCCCATCAGGGGACAGCTGAAAACCTGTATCACACTCGCATCTGTAGCTTCCTTCTGTGTTCACACACTGTCCATTATGGCAAAGCCTGCCATTTTCTGTACATTCATTTATGTCTGTAATATTCACAAAAGATATGTAAAATTGTATACATCCCACTAATCAGTAATTTGATATTTCCTTCAGTGTGCTTGTTTCTTAGCAACTGTTTTCCAGTTTTAAGTGATATAAGCATAATGGAAGTTGTGCTGTACAATTTCAAGAAACTGAAGATAATTCTCTGTGTATGTTTCTTGAGTTGATTATCATTTGCCATGCTAATAACTGTAGACAGTAATGGTTCACTATCTTACATGATCAGTCTCATTTCCCATCTATTTTCTTGAACATGCTACAGAAGATCAAGGCAGGGTATATATGAAAACAGTGGATCCAATTGATACAGTACGCAGTGATTAGCAAAATCACTTTCATTTATGTACAGGGGCAGTGAGAGAGCAGATGCTTTAGTTGGCTCTAAAATAAGCCATCTATGGATAGGAGAGTCATCAATGCCACAAAAGAGAGTAAATACTGTGAGGTTTTTAATTTCATGGAAAATGATTCTTTGGTGTTCTTGGTAATCTTAGTTTCAGCTTCATAGCAAATGGGTCACCCCATAGTTGCTCTCTGCTTGTGGCAATGAAAAACACCCAGAATACCCATTACCGTCTCTTGTATCTTTTGTAGACTTTACTAAATAGACAGCGTAGCCTATGTATGCCTACTGGTGCAGCCAGACAAGAAAACCATGTTGGAGCCACCCATTATTAGATCAACCAAAACAGGAGTTGTGAGACTGAAAACACTTAGAGACATCATACTCCAGAGGAGATCGGAGCACCTATGTTCATGCCCGATATGAGGTGAAGAAGATCTTTAAATGAACAATGAAAAATTTCTTGTTCTGCTTGTGCCATGTGGCCAAATCATCCAGGTATTTATATTCTTGCCTCTTTTTTGCCTTCCTACCTAGTTTGCCAGTTATTAAAGTTTTAAAGTTTCTGTGGTTAAAAGTGTTGCTTTCCAACTCAAGGCTAAGTGTTCAAATCTCTACTTAGGCAGGAATATTCTTTTATACTGACCTGAACTCCCAGGTGAGGCCAACCTAAAATATACCAGGAAATGTTAAGGTAAGTAACTCTACTCTGTTGTTTGATCTATAAAATAGAGGTTAGCACTATATACTCTAGATGATGATGATGTGGAAAAGGCTGCTCCCCTTTTGCTTTATTATCAATACTGTCTTTTTCGCAATGCAGACTGTTTATATTTTATTTTTATACCTCAGGTTAGACTCAAGTGTTTTTGTTTTTTTTCTAGTATGTAGACTTTGACTCGTGTTTATACTCTATCCCTGCCTTTTGACTCCGGATATATTTTTCACTCATCTCATTAAACTCTGTAGAATGAAAACATTTATAGTGAGAGAATGCAACTGTCCTGAAACAATGTTTTATCTGTACATGTCTGTCTGCTTATTTGTCCCCCTCTGGAATGCTACCTTAAAGTTTCACCCCCTTATGATTTTAGAGTTGCATCCTGAATGGCATACCAATGGTGCAAACTCAAGATACCTTGTTTAACTTCCTAGGAAGTTATCATTAGGGAATCCATATAGGTTAAACCAAGTGCTACTACTGTGTACCTGCTGTCCCATACAGTTAAGAATAAAGGACAAAGTTTGAACAGACAAACCTGTCTACTAGAAATTCTTGTTGATACATGCACAGGGATGAATCTGAGAAGGGATCTGAGCATTTATGGGCTGAATGGTTCAAAATTTAGTGAATATGTTCTGTTAACTAACTGACTATAAATACTATCAGATGTCTGCTGTTACCAGCATATACTCTTCTAAGTCTCAAGTTATTGCTATTTCTGCTTGTAGTTAAAAGCATTTCCATTATTTCTGTATGTGTATTGACAAAATATTATAGAATAAACACATATGTATTATTTTTATTTTTATTTTAAAACAAAAATAGAGATAAGGAAGAAATAATTTACCAAAACAAATCTGTTGGTTGGGAGATTGTCGAAAACCTGGGTTGCATACACACTTGTATGATCCATCCATATTAACACATTGTCCATTAGCACACATTTTAGCAGTTTCACATTCATTCATATCTGAAAATAAATACATACAGTGAAAAAGGAAAAAACACACAATTATGAAGTTGATCAGCATATTAAAATTCAGAATTCGGATTTCCGCTGATCCGGAAACATAAAATTCTTCTCTAATTCTTGTTCATCCTCTATTTCTAGAGATTATGAATTTCAAATCTTTATTGCAAGTACAAGTTGCAAATGTAAAATATCTGATTTATCTACATATTTAAGTTTAGCAGATCTTCAAATAATATACAGGTTGTTTGATGTCTTTGGTTGTTTGATGTCTTTCATCTTCTTATTTTAGTATATACTATTTGACAGTGGTAATTATGTCTGTCTTCTGTCTTTAGCTTTCTGTTTAAGGTACTGTCAATTATTTAGTCTACCAGTGGTATTAACTTCTACTTCTTCTTTGCGTTCAAACCGGAGGAATATTGTGGATGTTCATCCACCTTTGGTTTCGTCACCTCAGAGACAGGTTCTTCCTTACCCAGGACCACTGTCATTGAAACTAACTGCTTCTTCTTTTGCACTCACCAGCTGTAAACTACAGAGGAAAGTTCTGAAAGTCCAGGCTTTAGTCTAGTTCCAGAGTCAGAGCATTTTAGGTGACATTGTGTTTCACAAATCTGGCTAACTTGTATGCTGACTCTTGTTTCCTTGAATCAGGCAGGCGTACTCCAACTTTGAAGGATGCCCCCAATTGTTTAACTTCTATGACATGCTTGTTGGGAAGGCAGTGGGTCTATCCTTGTTTTCTCTATAGATGAGGCTTGGAACACACGCAGGTAAAACATTAACTAAAGACATAATAATAACATCTGATCTTATTCCTTCACTGTCATCTAGACTCAAAAACTTTCTTAAACTATATTAAGTATGGGCTCTAACATCTCATTATCAAGGACTACTGTAAAATCAAAAATAAAATTTTACACAAAGATTTGCATTAATGAAAACAGAAATATAAATTTCAATGTGAACTCAAAAAAAAAAAAATTAGTGCTTAGTCAATTATGTTGTCAACTTCTATCTCATAATGACAAAATACATTACAAATGTTTGCTTGACTGAAATAGCACCTGAAATAACATACGTTACCTGTGCAGTGTGAACCATCCTTTGACAGTGTAAAACCTGGATTGCACTGGCACTGAAAGCTACCTCTCGTATTAACACATCTGCCATTTCTGCAGACTCCAGGCTGACTACATTCATCTATGTCTGAAATTTTTATTTTTTAATGAACAATAAAATTATTATAACAGAATTACAAAATCAGTTTATGTAATTATGCATATAAAACATCAGATATCATTTATACATTAAATAAATTAAAATAAAGATGTAACAAAGATCAGTTTCATTTTGGTGTCAGGGCTTGCAGGTGTAGAGTCATTGAAAACCTGATAGGCTTGCAGACAGGGTTAGTGTGGTCAGCTGATGAGTAATAGACCAGGCTAAATATACAATACTCTATAAGTAAATGCCATTTAAGAAAATCAAGTGATGACTAATAAGTCTGCAAGCATGACCAGACTGCAAAGGATGAAGCTAGACAAGAACGTTATGAAAGAAGCTAAAGAAGAACAATAAACCAACAAGGATCTAGTATTGTCATCTTGCATATCCTGAGGATATACTGAGAAGATGATCTGAACACTTATGGACAGTTATTTGTAACATAGTAAGGATTATCTGTTGACTAACTAATTAACTGAAAATATGAAAATATAAATAGTTGGAATAAATAAATCTTAGGTCAGCTTTGCATAAATACTGAAAACATAAGCAAAGTCTATTGCAATGATAAGTGGTTATCAGTAAATAACAAGAAATAAAATGAAACCCAATTAAGGAAATGACTCTAAAGTTACACATTTAAGCATTTTATACAAACATGTTAACCTTTTTTTTTAAAGGAAAGAGATTGCAATGAAATGCGAGGTACTTAAACCTCTTTGAATCTTGAAATAATGGTTGCATCTCATGCTAAAAAACAGGAATACCTTGCTAAAATTGCTAACACATTTTAAAGAAGAATACTACTGTATTGAATTGTATAAGCTGTGGGAGCCATTGGTCAGAGTGAAGAACATAATGTTCTGTTCAGTTTAATTTAATTTGTTGATGAACTGGTAGATTTTATTAGGCAGTCGTGTACTATAAGAGAGTTTATTAAAAAAGGAAAATCAAAACAATTTAATCATATTGTTGTGAAAGGACCTTTTCACACCTTTGGTGAATTAGGCTAATAGTACTAGACCTATATTTTATAGACCAATAGGCACTCAGTGGGTGATGTGGTCAACCTCAGACTGGCCACCTTTACTTCCAAGGAACTCCTGGTACCCATAAAAGGCTGGGTCGACCTAGAAGCCAATGTCATTTTCAATCATTGTGCTGGGTAGATGACATTCAAACAAAACGTAAAGGATCCTTTTTTTGACTCAAGTTCATGAGAAAAGATATATGGTGCTATTTCCATATTTTTAGACCAGCTGTTAATCAGTGATTGTTGTAGTCAATATGACCCTGGCTGTTCTTTCAATCACTCAATCAAGTGCCTTCTCCACAATACAGGTTGGCTGCAGTGGACTCTCAACACCCTCTCTCTGTTGTCTTGGTTAAACACTCTCTGATATTGCTGTTAGTCCATCTCTTAATTTCTCCTTCCCACTTGCATTGTTGTCTACCTCTTATCCTCTAACCCTCTATCTTTACTTTCCAGGAAATATCCTGGTACTCTGGGTCAACCTATGAAAAACTCTTATGGTTATATATAGTGTTTAAAAGGTCCCTCCTTAGTGACTCTGCTTCACACTGATATGGTTCCACATGACGAACTACACAAACCTCATATCACTCTAACAATTAATTTATAATGTTGACTCGTTGGACGTGTGGAACACACTGTATAAAGATAATTAATATACAGATACGACTGCTTAGACAATAAAATAAAAAAAAAGTGTTATTGGAGGCCTTACAAATACGGTATAAAAAAATGAAAGACTATATTTTAAAAATTACGAATAAAAGGCCGCAGATCACACAAGAAATCATGACAGGGAGGTATGAAAATAGTGTACACTGAGCTTGGACTTGTGAGCTGGATCCAACAAACTGTTAATATTATTCTGCAATAATGCATGCAGCAATAATATCTGATGAGATGTAAAAAGTTTATCATTGTAACAGACAAGAAGTTTCTCTTTCTTCAGACTCCTCAGCAAAGATGCTGAGGTGGTGAGAAACAAACAACACTGGTTTTTCAAATCTTTCTAATGAGCCATGTAAGCCAGTCTTTATTTATCAGATGTTGTTGCTTGTTGCTTCCATCATTCCATTATTTGAGCAGTCTTCCTCTTGATGTGTATTCTTGATGTTTCTTTGACCTGGCTCTCTGTGGCATTCGGTAACAGGTTACTTTAGTCGATGGTTAAATGGTCAAAATACTAACCAACACAATTTCCTTGAGAATCAGTCCTGAATCCTGGGTTACATTCACATCTGAAGGTATCCTGGAGACTGACACATTGACCATTTTCGCATAGCTTGTCAAACAAACGACAGTAATCAATTTTGAATGGTTGAGATGCATTGCAGAGTCTAGTGTGGGCATCTGGAAAAAAAAAATAATAATAATAACAACATACCAATCATATCTGCAACAACTACATTTGCATACATTATTTCTAAAATAAAACAAATTGTCGTGGTTTACGTATGTAATATCTGTGATTCTGAGAAGTTTGTTATTATGAGTGCTAACAATGAAGTTTGGTTTTTTCTCTGCTATGGAGCTGGTTGCAGTGCGCAGGCTGCTGTCTTTGCGAATCCTACCAGTCTGAAATCATGAGCTGAAATCAAACCACGATACGCCGCCAAAGACTGGATTATGAAACCATTTCACTAACTTGTAAGCCACAACGCCGGAATACATTGTTGTGAACTTGACTGATCTGTTCTAAATCAATTACCGTTCTTTAGGAGGGGAACAAAAACTAAAGAACATTGGACGTAACACTGTAGGTTCTTTTCTGTTAAGTCACAACATCACGTTAGATTTATGGAAATCCCATAATATAGGGGGGTCAGGGTTATTACTGTCGCTATTCATTTAGCACTAGCCTTAACCCTAACTCCCCCCCCCCCCCCCAAAAAAAATAATAATTTGGGGATTTCCCTAAATCTTGCGTGATGTGGTGACTTGACTGAAAAGAACCCATTGCTAATACCATATTTTGTATAGACAAATCTGTACTTGATGCGCGATATGGTCAACAGCTCATCTGCTATTTTTACTTCCCAGGCACTCCCTGAGATGTTAATCCTACAGACTGGAAAAGGCGGGGAGGGGTGGGGCAACTTATTAAAAAAAAATTGGTCCCGATGCAGTTAAAAGCCAATGATCATTGAACTGGCAAGAAAACTGGGTAAGCACTACACTAAGGTGGGTCTCTTATTGCCCTTAGACCCCCAGATGCCAAAGTAATGTTATATTTTTTTTTAATGCTCATTTTGTTAAATCACCAGACTCATGGATTGTGCTTTATATACGGCCAGTCCCAGCAGTTACTTAAACTTGCAACATATTTCATTGTATATTTTATCATTATTATTATTCTATTTTCTGTGGCGCGGTGATTTCGGTCACAGGCATGAGGCAAAGTTAAGTCTGATGTGATGTGTATAAGGAGATAATCCGTACCCCACTCGGGCGCCAGTCCTTCACTGTTCTGGTTTTACGGAACCTCATGCAAGACTCCTGCTGCACGTCCCCGTCGTGCGCCACGGATAATGTCTCAAATGAGCATTAACAGAGTTGGCAGGGGATCTCGGAGCTGGCGGCCCCTAGAGGTGTAGTGTCCTTTCTGGCTCTCACCAGCCCGCCCCCAAAACGCATGGGTGAAAAGTCTAACAAAACTCAAGGATTGCTTGCTAAATGTACCGTCAAATGACAACTCTCGGTTAAAATTTGGGAGCGAATGGAAAACTGTGCTGCTGAGACTCAACCCTGACTGAGAGATTTACCCGCAGCCAAGACGAGTAACATCTCTTGTGGGCGACTTCTCGCAGCAAGATCCTACTTACGTACATCCTCTGTCAATCCTCAGTGTCGTCGTTACCGCGCTGAGGTACACCACGGCAGCAACTTTTCATATGCTGGCTAGGAAATAATGTCCGACAAAGTTATACCCCACGGCACACATGCAAGCTCAAAGTCCGACGATCATAATTCGTACCGATTAGGAAAAAGTCTAAATGTCCGTATCCACTGGTCCCACTCGCCCGAGTGTCGGAACCAAACAGGTGAAGCCACGCCTGACGCTTCCCCATTCTGTCGTGCTAAGGGCACAACTGAAACAACGTTAAAGGTGTCTAACGTGCGATGAAAAAGAATGTACCTATTTGTGTGGCCACAAAAGTCCTGGACCTGCGGGCTGCTCCCCGCTGATCTCCGAAGAGTGCAGCCTTGTAGCGCGGGAAGCCCAATACACGGTTGTGAGGTTAAGCAGTCATGGGCAGGACGTGACGATTCCTTGGGTGAGCCCAGAACCAGAGCATCATGTGTCGGCTCTGCATTTATGGAAGCCTCCTTGGATGGCGGGGAATGCCCATGATCTGCCCCTGCCTTCCCTTGAGGGCTGTCAATTCTACCTAGGGCTGCCTTAAGGACGATATTCCAGGGACCACACCTGTTAAAGGTCAAAGAGGACACCACACAAATGAGGCAACATCTCGACCCACAAAAAACAATGGCCACAGTCAACCTAGAAATAGGCTTGACGTCTTCCCTCGAAGTCGGAGTACATCTGCCGGAGAGGCGGGGAACGAGAACTGCAAACAAAAAAGCCAGTAAAACGGATGTACACGCAAAACTCAGGTCAAGGTAAAAGCCAAAAGTCTATTTGGACGAACAACCGCGACTTACCGCCGGAATTCACAGCCGGTGAACAAGAAGAAGAAGAAGAAGAAATTCTATTTTCTAATGGCTCATTTATATATCGTCATAATGATAATTCATTCAATTAAATATGTAGTAAGTTAATTGAAATATTGTTTAGTTTGTGTATAAATTTTCTCGATAATAATAGTGAGCACAGACCGGTGGACCCGCCCACGCCCATCTTGAGGTATTTATAAATAAGAGTCGACTATGACACCTAACAAACCAGGAATTTCCGTAGACCTGTTCGGCCTTACTGCTGGATGGGTTTTTATCTAGCCTATGATCTATTTTAAAAGTAGTGGACACTTTTCAAGCGAGTGGCACATCCATCATACGACGCTAGACTCGTATTTTGTAGCCACATAGTAAGTACAAGTAAAGTAAAGGTAAAGGACCCTTTCCACGCCTTTAGGCGTTTAGGGTATATAGGGCTAGACCTATATTTTTATAGACCAACAGTCACATAGTGGGTAATGTTATCTATACTCAGGCCCGGCTCGCTAGCATAGTTGGTTAAACGTGACTTTGCGGCGATTGGGCGACGAACTCCCTGTGGTCCGGGTTCACGCTCAAGGGTTGGCAGAAAAGCTACATTTCTCCCAGATTTACGGTATGTATCATGGAATCAAGGCCGAAGGGTTACGATATCCATAGTACCGAGTCAAAGGGTTAACAACTCATGGTTTCTATACCCATCTCTGCCGTGTGTTGCAATATCTTGGACAATAAATAGGCAACTAGAAAATGGAACCGAGCCTCTGGAAATGTGGATGATACACGGAAGAATAAGTCTATTTCATGGAAACAAAAAATAATCAAATACAGATGTTGTAGAAATGAAAAGGGAATTATTGAAAGCAGTTAGAGAGAGACAATTGAAATATGTTGGCCAGATTAAAAGACATAATACACTTTTTAAAACCACACTGACAGAGAGAGAGAGAGAGAGAGAGAGAGAGAGAGAGAGAGAGAGAGAGAGAGAGAGAGAGAGAGAGAGAAGGGTGGGGGGGGGGTGGGGGTGGGGAAGGCAAGGTCGAGGGCTTTAAAGCAGGAGAGTAAAATGTAGACAACGTTCTAAGTGGGAGGACAATATCAAGAGAAAGACGAATAGCAGTCAGAAAGAGTGCACAGTCAAGGCAAGAGACAGATAGTGTTGGAGATTCACTGCAGTCAACCTTCATTGTGGAGACGTCAGCTGATTGATTGGAGACTGATTGATTGAGTGGATAATGTGGTCAACATCATGCCGGTCAACCTCACTTCCCGAGACATTAAATGGTACCCATTATAAAATGCGTCCACCTGGCAGGCAAGTCAAGACAAGGACTCATGTCCACGCTTGCGGTGTAGGGGCTTCATAGGGCTAGACCTATATTTTATTGACTAATCACACCGGCCACCTTTACTTTCCAGGACTATACCCGGTATCCATACAAGACTGGGTCGACCTGGGAGCCAATGTCTTTTTTTTGGGGGGGGGGGGGACGGTGGGGGACTCCGGCTCCGTCAAAACCCGAACTCATGACCATTCAATCTGCAGGCAAACTTTTAGCAGCTACACCACACCGGCTCTCTTTCTGACAGGCAGGGTCAGTTTGGAAGAAAACAAAATCTACTCTCGATGAAATATCTGATTCCAAGATCTTTAGACCAAGGGACAAATGCCTAATCACTATACCAGAGCTTTCCAAACGTTGCATATTGAAAGACGCTTTTAATAGGAACAAAAATTGTTTTTACTACCCAGTAATAAGGACTTTTACGAAACCAGAGGTTAAATTGACTCCATATAAAAGATAAGAAGATACATACATACATGCATACATTACGTTCGCGCGACCCACCTTTACGCTGCAGTCGACAAACTAACCTGTCACGACAAAAATTTTCGTGCGTCTCTGTGGCTTAGGGGTTAGTTAACGAGTTTGTTCTTTCCTGAATGGACAACAGCACAGCAAATATAGCAGAGTAGTCTTTCTGACTGGTGCTATGTTAGTTCTACAAGCAATTGTTAACTCAAAAGACACTCAGTTTGTAGACTTGACGCAACAGCTGATTAACTTAGGCTCTACAGTAGAACAATCTGTACTGCAGTGGATTCCAGGTCACTGTGGCTTGGAAGGCAATGAAATAACGGACAGATTGGCCAGAAGCGGCAGTGACATGGTACAATCAAATAGCGACTTAACCCACCAAGAGATGAAAACATTAATACAATCTAGTATCCAAGAAAGGTGGCTACATACCCACACCAGATTTTCTCCCCAAGACTCACTTCATCGCCTCTCTAGAGAGGGACAGTGTATTATTTTCAGACTAAGGACTGGGCACAACAGATTTCGTCAACATATGTTCAGATTTTTCGGTGTAGGAAATACGGAGACGTGTCCCTGCAGCGTGGCACCTGAAAATGCTGAGCATGTGCTCCAACACTGTCAACTGTATGCTGGCAACAGAGACGCAATCTAGCCTGTTCCAACCACACTGAAGACAAAACTGGATGGTACACGAGAAGATATTGATTGCACGATAGCTTTCATAAAGGCTACCGGCCTCCTGATATAAGTTTTTTGACAGAAAGATCGAAGAAAAAGAAGAAGATTGAGTACCAAGGTTCCATTCTTACGGCGGATAATTTATTTAAAATAAATATATGTATTAGCGATATT